GGGGATGACGGGCAGAAAAGGCTGACACAGCGGGCAGGGTGGCGGGGCGAAAAGGGGCGAGTGGCACGGGACGGAACGGAACGAGCTCGAGGGACGGGCAGGCAGACCGAGAGTAGTGGGTGTATGCGTGTGGGAGGGGTGCAGCAGGGATGAGGGATGACGTAGGGCATTGCACAAGGGGCGGGGAGGGCAGCAGACACGGGGCATGGCGGGCAGAAAGCACCAAAGGCCGTGGGGCTGGTGGGCGTAAAGGGCAGGCAGGCAGGGCAGACGGCGGGGCGGAAAGGGGCGAGTGGCACGGGACGGAACGGAGCGAGCACAGAGGGAGGGGCTGAGCTCGACGGGACAGAGGGGTGGCACAAGGGGCGAGGCGGGCACAGCACAGCGGGTGAGATTGTCCGAGGAAGGGCCGGCGGGCGGGAAACGGGCAGGGCATGCGCACGGACCGAGTGACGAGCAGGGAGGGGAGGGCAGGCACGTACCAGTGCAGGGCATTGCACGGAGGTGGCGGTGCTGTCGCGGGCGCCCCAGCGCGCACAGACCAGGTGACGTGCACGGATGGGCAAAGAGAAGAGCAGCGCCCGCAGATGGGCAGGCACGTGCGGATGGGCGGCTGGCAGGGCGGGCGCAGGCTGGCGGGCGCCCCGCAAGATATTCGAATTTCCTGGGATTTAAATTTCGGGCCCATTCCTCGCGGCCCGCGCAGCTCGGTCAGTTTTCGTCCGTTTTTCACTTTTCCACGTGACACGGATAGCCCTCGACGGGCGCTCTCGAGGGGTGTGGCGCGCGTGACGGAAAAGTGCGTCACGGTCACGGAAACAGGCGGCCAGCACCGTGGGACCATTCAGGTCGAGCGCGGGCAACGGAATAGAGCTAGGCGGTTGACCGTTGTTCACGGCGTGTTTGACGAAGGAGTTCTTGGTTATGAAGTGCGTTCCTTTCCTCTTCTTTTTTGTGCGAAGATTAAACAGTCACTAATTCTCAGACGTTTAGGACCCACCCGCGAACAGATCTTGAACTGCGCCACAGCGTCCTTCTCTCACAACAAACGAGACGACACCGCTAGGACGATCTCATCGTAACATGCCATTTTTACTGCAACCCATGACCGCCCTCCGTGCCTCTGGTTGAACGGATCTCCTCGCCCGATCTTACGCCCAGGAGAGCTTCGAGTCCGGCCTCGACAGCTGCTTCGACCTCGTGTTCTCGCCCGCTGTCGTTGAAGCGACGGTGCATTCTCAGCCAGTAAGGTGCCTATACCTGCATGAGGAACTCGGTACGTTTGATTTTTGGCCTGACGTGGTAGTGTTCTGCGGCTGAAGTCGGACAGCTTCCTTAGGCACCTTGTAGATGGAAGATGGAAGATCCATACCCTTCGTCAAACGCTTCTCCCTTTCGCGGGCTAGGTTCGTCTATGCAAAGAACCTTTCGAGTTTGAAACCTAATGCTGTCATCATCTTCAGATTCATAGAACGCTGGATAAATCATGCCCCATACATAGCTCCTCAAATTTATTCTTGTATCCTACGCGAAGCTGCTACTCAACAATACGTCTCTCATTGGCCTGAAAGCTTTGAGGTTCCTGATACCTCATCTTTGATCCATGAACTGCTTCATGACGTGGAGGAGATCGTATACTTTTCTCGACTACGCTCTGCAGGGCGTGATTCGGGTCCCTCGGAAGATATAAGTATTTTGCTGACGACATCTTTGTCGAACAGCTGGGAGGTTTGTGGGATAATCCCTCCATTCAATTCTGTCGAGCATATCCGTGTTAGCGCTTAAGTTAGAAGGCTAGATGCTCAGCGCTCGCTCAGTACCAATCTTGACCCGGATATGCACTGAGTTTAAGCGGAAAGATAATTTTGGTCCCAAAGCTAGAGAAAATGGGTCAGATTTGCCCGTTTGTGTCGCCCACCATTGCGTCCGCCAGCGGTCCTGCTGCGGTTGCCTGGCTCTGTCTTTTCTTCACCAAATGTTAGCTCTGTATGCCGTTCACTTCTATGACCTCTATCCGGCTTTCACTGATGACTTATTGCTCCGTTCGAATTGACGATATTCCCCTTCGTCTTTTCGACAACCTCAAGCCAAAGGAAACAGAAGTAACACTCTCTCGCACACAGGCGCCACCAGTATGTGCCTATGCACCGTCTGCGGCGCGGATGGGACTAGTCGATACCCCTCCAATCCTCCAAGAAGCACTCTTCTGTGCCACTCCTGCCAGGAACTCAAGAACCTCGAAACCCAGATTACCGACATCGACCTCAAGTCCAACCACATAGAAGACGACTACTTCACTCACCGATTCCCTCCCGAAATCGCCTCCCACGTCTTCGCGCTCACCATTTCGGACCCGGAAACTTCTGAGAACGAGCATCTCATCCCTCTGAATCTCGGCGCCGTATCGAGAAGGTGGCGCGAGATCGCATGGTCGACGCCGAGGTTGTGGACGCGTGTCCCTGTCAACCTCGAGGCGTTCTTTCACCACCCGAAGGAGCTTCTCCTGCAATGGATAGGACGAACCGGCCAACTTCCCCTCTCAATCCACATATTCTACGATTACGATGTGTTGGAATCGGGCGCCGCCCAACACGCCGCAAGCTTCACGGATGTATTCGGGATCATCAACGAGCACGCTTTGCGCTGGGAGACGTTGAGACTCAGGATACCATTCTCACTGTACCCCCGTCTCCGTTCCAAGTGCGACAAAGCGCCGCTCCTTAAACACATCATCATTGACCCGCCCTGGTTCATCGAGAACTATGCACTCGACTACAAAGGAGAGATCCTTTGCGTCTGCACTGTCCCTCCTGGTCCTCAGACCGTCATGGTCACACAATTTCCATTCGCTTCGATCCGTATCAATTGGTCCAACGTCACGACGCTGCTCTTTGATCGAATCTCCGTCATTGATTGTCTGCGCCTCTTCCAGCAAGCTCTTCAGCTATCTCAATGCTCGCTCAACATCGCACACAGCGACTGGCGCGACCGCCGTCTTGATTCGAACCCTATCACCCTTTCCCACCTGACGCGACTGAGTATCCGCTTTTTGACCAGTAACCTAACAGTGGCAGGCGCTTTCCTCCACAACATCACCCTTCCAGCGTTGACGCACCTCGACTACACCGAGACGATCGATTATACGGCTCTCGCCGCGCTGCTCACTCGCTCGTCGTGCCCTCTCACCTATCTCTACATCGGGTATCTTAAGGACCGTATGCCGTCAACCCAAAGCCTCCTTCAGGTATTGCGCGCCAGTCTGAGCCTCGAAGACCTTCGCATCAAGATGACGCAGCTGCCAAAGGACTTTTTCGATTCTCTTTCAGTTCCTCTAGGCAACAATGTCGCCGACCAAGCTATATTACTCCCCCGCCTGCGAAGTTTCTCCTATCGTGGCAAGTTAACGTTTGATTGGTCCTCGTTCATCAATTGCCTCGACTCGAGACTTTGCATCCAAGGAGAAGATGGCCGGCCTTTACTTCGCTCGATTGACCTCGCGTTCTGTACCATTCAACCGCACTCGGAGTCGCCGTTGTACTACATCGATGAGCGAACAGCGGCTCGCGTTTTCCGCTGGGTCGAACGCGGAATAGACGTGCGAATCATGAACGGTGTGGAGGATATGCTGCAATACTCGAGGAAGTTCCATGAGGAGGGGGTTGGGCCGATGCAAGCTCAGGCTTAAAGGCGAGTACTGGTCGGTTATTTAAATGTTACCTATAGTCCATTGTACAAGTAAGCCTAGGTTCTAACAGTTACGGCCCAGGACGGTACCCAAGTGCAACATAATCATTTCTTCCCTACCCCGCATCAGCCCGGGCGTTCAAGCTTCAAGTACGAAAGTATGTCTGCTGTTCGGTCGTCTGACATCCGAACGAGACAAAAGCTTCGAGACCCGCAGGAAACATCAAAGCGAGCCCGGAAAATGTCGACTGGCGAGAGCGGCTCGTGTCCGTGTGGCCCCGAGCTTTACTGGCTTTACGGGAGACAGGAGGCAAACAATTTGAGTGGATCGCCCTCATGTATCGAGAGTGTAAGTGGGCTGCAAGGGATTTCGTGATCCATTTCGGAGGCTCATATGAGAAGCTTTCTCGAGGTTATAAAAACGAAGGAGACGAGGCAGATTAATTCATCGAAAACACCCCCTGAGGTTCAGCAGCTACAGTTAGCTTTTATTTCCCCTAAAAAATCTCTTCAAATGCTAGTTGTAGTTGTATACATTCATTGTTCAAGTATATTCGCCCCGGCGATAACGACCCGGCGCCGTCATTTCTAGGTTAAGAGTTGAGTGTGTGCTTTCCGTGGTGTTGCCAGCTCGAAGAGGATTTCGGACAGAATTGTCTGCGCGAGACCGCGGTGTGCTCGCTCCATGACACATATTCAGGCCGGCATACTCCGCGTGCGAGAACAGGTACTAAAGTGTCAGAAATATTTATGTCCGCCCAGCCCGTAAAGGAGAGAGAATGATACGATACCAGGGATGGCCAAAAGAAATTGTATGTCGAAGAAGAACGCTCCAGAAGTATTTTCTCTACAAAATTATCCAGTATCAATAAGGCTTTACATCTACAGATAACCTCGAGACGTCTAAACGCCCAAGGGCTGCCGGCGCTAATCAATATCATGGTCGAAGTTCCACCGAAAACTCAAGTCAGTGGTTACCAGTTCACCGGCCTCTCACTTGACTTCTTATTTCGAAATGCTAGGTGGCCGAAATAAGCCTCATCGGAACTTGATTAGGCTTTCATGAAGATGTTCATGGCAAGATGAGAGACGCTCGGAGCACGTCTAATCCAAATCTAATCTAATCGCGGGCGATATCATTTCCCACCCTGGCACGATTTCAACTCCACAACCTCTTTCGGTCTCGCAAGCGCAACACGAACACATCTCTGCCCGATGCAGCGCACGCGAATCATCCAGCGCCCATTGCGTCTTCTCAGACTCGCATCGGTGAGTTGAGTCCTGTCAACCCGCCTTCAACGTTAACGCTAACCGTCGGGTTCAGTCAGGTTTCACCCTTACTAGCCTCTCGCAAGCTCCAGAGCCGAAGGCTGCCATCCGCGATCGGTATCAGATGCCCAAAATCAAGCACGGAATTCCTGGGTGCGACCGCTGAGAGGTTCACATAAAGGACTGGCTGCGGAATGTAGACGGACGCTTCGATGGTACGTGGTTCTCCCGTCATTCTCCATCTCGTTGCGTGCTCGTGCTAACTTCTCTCATCAGGGCCCGTATTTCAGCGTTAGTTTTCTGAGCGCTAGAACCTCGAAGCATTCTTCTGCACCGGTGACCGTGATCTTCTCTGTGCATAGAAGATTTTGAAAGCCGCACCCCGTCCCATCTCAAATGGAACTCGAAGGAGTCGACACGCGGTAATCTTGGATGCAGGAATGGATGAGGATAGGTGGCCGGGGTTGGGATGATAAGGAGAGCGAGGATTGGGTCGTCTTCAGGGAACCTCGTACGTGTTCTTCGCTAGTTTTTCATCCTCCTTCGCTTTCTCGTTTCGTGTTCTTCCCTATCTCCTCTCTTCTTCTCGCTGTTTCCTCCGACCCATCTTTCTCACTGTATTTCTTAATCGTTCTAACATTCCGCTACCAGTCCTTCGACATTTCAAAATGTCAACGTTCAACCTCCATTCCGTCCATTTCGACAGCCACTCAACAGACTCCACCAATCCAATGCTTCTCTGTGTATCGAAGATGGAGACCAGAACTTCCAACTCTCCATCGCAATTGCCATTCACCTGCAGGGTCCACGCATCAGATGACCTGCTCCGTGCATTGCTCTTCCGGCTCCTCAAACTACGCCCATCGAACAACACTCTTCCTACTCAGAGTGACGAGTTACCTCGACATTCCCTTCGCCGTATCAACAACAAAAACCCGAAGCTCCGTGTTACGCAACACGAGCTCAGGAGAACGCGATACTAGGAACGCCCACCAACTTCAAGAGGGACCTCATCGCCCAAGTGCTCTGTATTATCGCCACCTCATCCATCACCGAAATCAGCGGCGACTCCCGCCCAAGTTGCGAATGTAGAAATACGACTTGCTCGATGGTTAGGTTGCGGACACGTTTCGCAAGTTTGTATCGTCGGTTGCGCCTCAGAACAATGGCGCTGCGGATGCAGGTTCTCGATCCGGAGGTCGTCTTTGTGTTGGATTTCCTGGTCAGCGGTAGGGCGATGTGAGAGCTGGCTGGGAGGAAACCGAGTATTCACGACCGACGTTGTGGTGTTGGTCGGTGGAGACCCACGTAGGTACGTTCTTCGATTCGTCCTCGTTCTTTTTAGTGTTAGAACTGATTTGATTGGATGTTTATAGTACCCATGCGGGCCTCTATCGCGGACGTTCAATAGATGGGTTGACGATACAGAAGATCGAGGTTGACAACATTGACACTCTGCGAGCTTACTGGGTAACGTCGGTTCTTGCTGTTCCTTCTCGCAGTTTGGCTAACTGTCGCCCCATTCTCTTGTAGGTCGCCATAACTCGAAGTGAAACACACAACGCTAAACGTGTACGTCCACTTAGCTCGCATATATAAGCATATATTCACTTTTCCCTTATGTTCTTTAGATTCAAGCCCAAGTCTTCGCCTACACAGTAACGAACGGCCTCGTCTCCTGCTACAACGCTCGCATCACCCTGCATCGCTCATATCTCATACATGCACTCGCCGAACTTATCGCGAAACGAACCCCCGCCAACGCCAACGCCGGAAGGGACGAAGGCTGCAAAAATTAATGGGTCGACACCACCACCAGTGCCAGCGTTATGTCTCCGTGTCGGCATTGTCAGTGCCGTCGAGGACGATGAGGAGAGGGACGAAGTGCAAGAAGTCCTCCGGACGTTGAACAGAGAGATCGCGAAGGCGTACGAGGACCTTCAAGGGGAGTTGAAGATAATCGGGACGGTCTTAACCGCATGTTTTGAGAAGGGTTCCTGGTCGCGAAGTGCGTCTCTCTTCTTGTCCTTCGTTCGGGCTCAATGATGCCAACTGACATGAATCTTCCGGACTCAGGAGCGGCCCTTCAATTAACGAGCGGCGGCAGTCGCCAACCACTTGCATGCCCTGATCCTCGTTCTCATCGCCCGGCTCGCACCACACGTCGACGGAGCATGCGGAGAGGATGCCCAACACCCAGTTCGATCGACTATCAACGGGGTTTGCTTACGTCGCTTTCACCTCCAGCTACTCAGATGCCAGCTCTTTGTTACCAGTTGAGTCCGACAACACGAAATCACAGGCCTCGAACGGAGGCGTACAATGGAGTTGGAAGGACGCCGGATATGAAGAAGGAAGTTGAATTGTCGGCGGCGTCCATGGTCTCTGACCCTCTGGTCGTGATTCCAGATGGTTGAGGATTGTCGTCCTTCGACCATCTCTGCGAAAGCGTGATATAACAGAATAGGGTGCATGTACGACTGGCCTCGTCCTTGGGGTTATCTATCCCGGGTGGCGCATGCCTATAGCGGCCCGCAAGCTCGGCGTGTTCCAGCGATTTCCCGCCATCTCTTCCTCGCCATCTCTTCCTGACAGCACCGAGGGTGAAAGGGAGGTTTTGGTCGTTTTTTTACCCCGGAGTATACCGGTAAGAGGAATTCACGTATAAGTTACCTTATCTGAATCTGGTGGTGAGAGTATTTTTGGCCAGAACGTGCTTAGAGTAGGTAAAGAAGAGAGTGCTGCCCGCGTTCCTCGAATACAATAAGAATCTAATCTCGCTTTCATCTTATCTTATCTGCTTGAATGTGGACCCTCCGAGTCATGGAAAATGAGCGCTGCTGTCTCTGACCCCCTTTCCCCCAACTCTAGGAACTCGTTTCTTGAGCTATCCAGGTGACTCTCATATATATATGTGGTGCAAAGCTGTCATACTAACATTATTCTACGTTTGTTTAGAGACCGCTAAGATCGAACGGCAACGAAAACTTCAAGCGTGATGACCTCGCCGATCTACGCCCTCAACGACGATGTATTGCTCCTAACATTCTCCAAGAACACGAAGCCAGAATACGAAGCCATTCGGAACATATTAGCGGTGTCGCGAGTGTGTCACTCATGGCGAATGCTTGCCCTGGAGACACCCTCTCTTTGGGCATCTGCTTTGAACATCAACGCGCTGACACAACTTCCAGAGAAGGGAAAACAGGAGATATTCAGGCGCACGGGGACCGCCCCTTTGTCATTCGCGGGAGATATTCGTTCATGGTCGTACCAGCAATTCCTTTTCCGCACGTCCTTCACGAATACTGGCCTCGTATTCATCGTCTCGACATCTTGATTCGCCCTTCTCTCGTGGACACGTACGACGAGGGGTGGTGTGCGATATATCAGCCGGCGCCATACCTCGAAGAATTTTCCATCATGTTCTCCACATTCCAGGGCGAAGAACCCACCGACACATCCGATGATGAAGACGATGAAACAGAGCACGTAATCCATAGCCCTCCAGGTTTTTTTGGCGGAGAGGCCCCACTACTCCGATCCTTTTCGTGCCCGTCGATTCACGATTTCGATTTTTCAGCACGGTGGCTGGTGAGCCTACGCCATCTCCAATTTGGACAAGGGGGGGAGGACGGGAAAATCGGAATACCATTGGCGACGTTCCTAGGAACGTTGGACAACATGAAGAATCTTGAAACACTTCATCTTTCGACTGAATACCTTGTCGTTCCGGAGGACCCCACCGTTACGCTTCCCACCGCACACCTACCCCGCCTTCTCGACATTCGTTTGGAGCCAGCAAAGGACGAGACACTCTCCTCACAGGTGTTTCTCTCCTCGAGCATCTTGTGCCAGCGGCGGGATGCGGACTGCACGTCCGTCTCAAAGAACGATCAGGTCGTCTGAGTCTCCAACACACAAAGAATCTCCTCCACGAGTCCCTGGCGATGCACTCCAAGAACTGGTTCGACGTTGGAATGGACAAAGCACCGCTTACGCTCCACCTTAACTACCGTGGGATTACAATTGCGCACCAGTATGGGATCAAGGCCGACACTTTTCTGTCACTATTCAAGATGCAAATGATGGCCACCCCGAATATCTCCTCTTCGTCCTTGACGCCTTCTCCTCATTCAATTTTGCAACAATCACATGGCTTAAATTAAAATTAGACAAGGAAATCTACTGGACGAACTCGCACATGCAGCCCTTCATCGCCATGCTGCTTAATATCCAGGTACTCGAAACCCACGTCGAGAGCCTGGACGCAATGACAACGGCCTTTGACAATTCGCCTGAAGTACTAGACCGCGTTCCTTTCCCAATACTTGCCCAGCTTCGGCTTCGACAATATTTCGGGGTAAAGGAGGGCATCACGGTCGAAGACGTGTGTAGGCGTTTTTCCCAGTGGAGGGATCGGATCGGCTACCCAGTCGCTATTGTTAGACCTGAAGACCGCGTATCTCCCGATCACCATGACACAGACAGTTCTTGAGAAGGCATCGCTAACCAGGACCTCAAAAGCACGCAGGGGTGAGGTGGGAGATCATCCGGCAGTCGGGATGGATTTCGGATTTTGCGAGCGAGGCATACATAGGAGGGCGGTGACAAAATGGCGGGCCTGAGATACAACAAAATCCGCGCCCGTGGTCGCTAGGTTAGGGGCGTACTAATTTTCTGAATCGATGACGTTGTCCGAACTTGAGCTTGAACCAGCATCAAAAATTGAATTGCATCGCGACCGAAGGCCTGCTGAAGCATTACCAAGACGACACACTGATTGGACCATGCCGGTATACTACTACTACTACTACTACTACTACTACTACTACTGACAGTCCATGTTCGTTCTGTTCGGCCCCTTTTTGTCAAAAACGGGTTGGAACAGGATTCAACTGACCACCACAGCTCCGTGGACGGCATGAAATATACCGAACACATACATAGTTTTGGGCTTCCGCTACTGTTCTGCATACTGCTTTCCTCCTTCTCCAGCTACAGTTTGATATTTATTTGCTGGAATATGATGCTTTCCCGCCACTTTCATATTCAAGAAAGCCTCTTAATTTTCTAGCCAAGAATGCGTGAGCTATCCTCGCATTCGGCCAAATTTACGGGATTTACGTAGATTTTTCCCACTGAGGACGGAATAATACAATAGTTACAGTGTTTCGTCCTTTTTTATACGACCTATCAAGGGTAATTACAGGAGAAAAGGAGGGAAGAGGGCTGATGTGAGAGAACCGTGTTTGCGAGAACCCGGCTTTGGTGTGAGCTTCGCCTTTGGAGGCGGAGCGCCGGTTTACTTGGTGCACGGTTCTCCTACGGTTATTGAGGACTTGGTTCCTTCTCAGAACCGGAACCAGAATCGAATGGAAAAACCGGTGAGAACCGTCCATTCTGATCTCCCCTGTTCTGACCTTCCCTATTACTGCGATGAGAAGACAAAAGAGGTGGGTCAATCTCCAGCTCGATTCCGATCCTTTGTAGATAAAGGTATTTCTGCATCGTTTGCGGGTCCATTTCATTAGTATCTGGTCCCGGATTAAGGTGAATAGTGACACTCTGTAGAACCGGCCGTTTTGGAATGCTGGCTGGGGATGTGAAATCCATATTGTCAAAAATGACACCGAAGATCCTCGGAATTACGTCCAAAGAGAAAGTAGGAGGGGTATTGAATGATTTGAACTTCTTGAGGCGAGGAAGGAACGACACGGTGCCGTCGGCTGAACCAAAGCGGTCAGCAAGTGCATAGAGGACATCGCACGCGGCGGAATTATTCTCCGATGAAGACAGGTCCAGGTACTCGAGCGACGAGACCTGCGAAAGCACCTTCTTCATGTCCATCCCGCGCGTCTCGCGGTCGCTCAACGACAGGGTCTTCAGCAGGCAGTGCCACCTCGCAAAGTGCACGGCAAGGTCCAGTGGTGGATCAAGGTCGACCTCGGAGGATTTGATTTCCAGGCGCTCAAGGCGAGGAAAGTGCACCTTGTCGAAGAGAACATTTAACCGTTCTTCGGAGTTCCCCTCGAAGGCCAGGTGCCGGAGGTTCAGCACCGCAACGTGCTCTGGGACAAGATCCGCCTCCGCAGGGTCCATCGAGGCGAAAGTGCATTGCTCAAGCTGTGGTGCCAGACGTAATAGCTGCAGACATTCGTTGGAGTCAAGATACGCGGTAGATAGGTGCGTGAGGTTGATCAAAGTGAATGTGGACGCGGGACAGTGGAATGATTGCTATCGTCAGCTTTCGGAGGGTGGTTGTGACCGACATGAGGTTGACGGGGTACCATACAGGATAGTCTGATGGTTCGATTGTCAATTCTGAGAGGCCACTGCCTTCAGGTATCGTAGAACCGGAGTTGAACCGCGAAAGAAGCGCGGAGGGTGCATGTAGGTTCAACGCTCTCCATCTGCTGGCATACGAGTTGAGAATGTCGACGAGGGGGAAGAGCGGCTCTGCTGGAGCTTGTCGGGCTTTCCTACACAGACATTGGGCGGTGATGTTGAGCGGGAGATCGCCGGATCGCGCCAGCCATTCCTTGACCAACTCCATGCGCAGCACATCGTCGTCGCACCGGTCAACCCACAACTCGAAGAACATGGAATTCCACAGCTCGGGTGTTGACCAAGCGACCTGACGCCACGTCCTACAGACGGCGCCGAGGACGAGTGGGGCGGCGATCTCCACGGACGAGTATGGTTCGGCGCGGGATAGATGAGGCAATGGGTGAAGATCTTGGACGCGATCTCGAGGGGAAATTTGTGGATGAAAGGATCGTGTGAGAGGTTGATGGCTGAGTATAATGTGCGGAGGATTTCTGCTTGAGAAGGGGGAGGATTTCGATGCCTTCCATGTTTGCTACGAAATCGCTGAAGGTCTGTGCATTGTGGACACGGTTTTCCTGCGGCAAGTTTGCACGGTGCCAGAGCCGTCTGGCGACGTCCCATATGGAATCAATCGGGCACAAGGTTCTTCTAGGTATAAATTATTGTTAAATGAGAGCAGGAGGAGGAAGGAAATCCCGCCTACTTTTGCGTTAGAGTTTCGTGGAAACTATAAGTTGTCCTCGAAGCGCGAAATTCCAAACACTCGTCAGGTGCCCTACTCAAGTTTTTGAGTGCGTAATTGGATATCCTAAGAGTACCAGGCCTGTGAATGACATTCAGTACTGGAATATGAAATGTGAAAGCAACGCGCCATGAGAAGTTCGAGTTCAAGTTCGAGTTTCTGTAACGGGCAACGGTCCGGTCGATAGGCGTTTTGTTTGTTGGCATTTGTTCGCATCGGTCCCTCTCTCCTCCCGCTCATGTTTGAGTGAAGTGCGAACCGGGTTTCTACATTCCGGGGTCATAATTCCCGAACATTGGTTCTTATCCTTTGCAAATTCTAGCTTCCCTCTTGTTCAGCAAACCGGTGAATATTTCTCCGCAAGGGTTGTAATATCTCTTGCAGCCCAGGTACTATCGTTTGGAAAGGCGCCTCAGACGTCGTGAACTCGAGCGCAAGATTAACTGGCCAGGTATATGCAGGGACCAATCAAGGCTCTTAGCTTGGCTTGACATTCAGAGACGATGCTCGGACAGCATACTTGACTGCGGATCGCGCTCTCATCCTCATGGCACCGCTCGCCATCACTGACGCTCGAATATCTCCTCGCACAAAGGTTCTTGTATGCCGGCCATCTCGACTCCGTTCTAGCCTGGTCAACGGACGGGTAGTCACGTACGTGATGATTTCCAGGAATAATATCTGTCGCACAAGCTCGGCGTTGTGTCGCGCATGATAACTTCACATTTGCTGTCGCCCAAGTGCTTCTACTGGTGGCTCGTCTATTGAAATATCTTCGAAGCTTCCAGCAACTCGCACAATTACCCGGTGTCGTCACTCAAGTCCGAGTCCTGGATTCACGGACTTGGTCGTTTGTAGACGACTTTGGCCGCTATCTAATCTTATCTGATGGACGCCCAGGGATTTTCCACACGTTTCTGCCGGACCATGACACAGCCCGACCTTTGCTGGCGAACATCAAGCCATGTCTGTCCGACCCGGACGTGCACTGCCTATATACCCCATGCATCATCTCAAAATTTAGTCCACCTGTCGACTCGTCCACCACTTCGCCCACTGCGGGAAGGAATGCTGCCGCCAACGAACACACTGCACGCTTAAATCACGTCTTTAATGGGGTCAGGAGCGAAAGGCAAGGGCAAGGACAAGGAACCGCGCGAGAGGAAGAAACCAGGCAGAGTGTACGTCTCTCTTTTATATTCTGTCGTTCCATACCAACTTGTCTAACGAACCTCCGTCATATCAAGGCCTACTTCCTGCGCGGAATGCAGACGACTGAAATTGCGCTGCGATCGCAATGTACGTTCCTTTCGTTTCAGGACATCGCCCGAGACACGGGCGCTGTTCCGTACTCGTATCTCAGTACTTTCTGACCATCACATTCTGAAGGTTCCATGCGAAAAATGCGTATCCCGAGGGTGTGGTTCGATCTGTCCGGACGGTGCGCCTCTTGCGTTTTTCGATCATGACCGACTGCGATACCGAACACTGTCCAGGCTCTCTCACTCCCGGCAAGGGAGGCCGTCTCATCCTGGCCAACACGGAGGAGCTCCATGAGCAGATCGACCGTCTTCGATACCGGAATCGTGAATTGGAGAGCGCCCTTCGTCAACTGCAGGAAGGGGTGTCGGACGAACCTCATCCGCTGCTCAGGACCGATGTGCTGCAGACCAACTTCCTCCAAGGATCGTCCTCAGGGGCCAGCACGTCGTCATCGAGTAAATCGCCCTCGACATCGCGTATTAGTCCAATAACCCACGCGCCTGAGCCGATTGAAGCGAGGTTGGAGGAGGATCACAGTATTATCGATGCTTTCGGTGCGCGATTCCTTCATTATATGCTGCCTCCGCTTACAGCGCCCACGCGAAACAGGCACTATGACCATCAACCGCCGAGGACATTCAGCATTTCTGGGGAGAACAGCACGTCCTGAGGTACGCGCCCACCTCTCTTCGCATTATCATGATGCTCATATGTCGTAGTTTCTGCTCAACGTATGTCGTCGTCATTCGGTGCATCATCACGTCGATCTATTCCTGATCTGACAACCATTCGTCCCACAGGCGACTCTCAAACCACAACGAGCGGCCTTTCAAACCCCACCTCGAATATCGAAGAGGATCATGGAGCTCTCGTTTCCCGAGTCCCAGATCCCGGATACGAGTCTCGTTACGGATATGCTCAGCTTGCTTCCATCGCAATCCGACGGGCTCCATTTTTGTGATGTCTACCTGGAGTATGGAAAGTTCGTGTAAGTTTTTTTCCCTGTGTCTTCTTCGTTAGACCCGCGTAGCTTTCATTCTTGCTGACCCTATTATAGCTATACCGCTCTTCCTCGGAAGGAGCTCCTTGATGAAATCTTCTCCGCTGTCTACCGAACTAAGTAAGCTTTGACCTTCGGACATCTTCGGGTCTAGCTGACAAGAATTACCGTAGACACCTCCCGAATTTCGAGCACTTCCACGCCCTCTCGCTACTCTTTATCGTCTTCGCCCTCGCGACCCTCTTCAACCCCAGCTCGCCGCCTTACGCCCCCGAAGGACACGAATATTTCTATCTCTCACGTGCAGCCTTCAACCTTTCTCAACCATTTTGGGAAACAACACCAACGACGATCCAGACCCTTGTGAGCCACGTTTTTTCATTGCTGTCATTGCCCTTCTCCGACACCGTGTCTGGATTACGGTTCCGACGCCGGCCTCTCGGCGACATGTCCGTCTTCGTTTCTTAAAACGCTAATCATAACCTCGTGGCTTGGACAGATCCATACGGCGCAATACGTGGACTTGAGCGAATTCGATGCATCTGGACATGATTCAGCTTGGGCATACGTCGGACAAGCCGTTCAGTTAGGTTATAGCGTAAGTTCGTTCGTCTATACCGCTTAATTGGGCGTATATTCACCTTAACTATACTCTAGATTGGTCTTCGTCAGTATCATCGAGGATCTCGAGACGTGGTGTCTTTCTGACGTTCATAATACAGACCTCGACGCCAGTCGTTGGAAATTGTCCGACGAGGTGGTTCAACGTCGCCAAGAGTTGTTTTGGCACCTCTTTGTTGCCGATACATGGGCGGTACGTTTGTATATAAGAGCTTTCGTTAAATTTACTTATCGGTGTTCGCAGAATTTTCATATCGGACGACCTCCAAGAATCTCAAAGTCAAGCATCGACTGTCCTCAACCACAGCTACCTGATGATAACGTCGATAGCAACGAGAACTGTGCGCATTTATTCGTCTTCGTGTAACGATGACTTGACTAATTATTGAGTCCTCTAGTCCAATCATGGTTTACGCATTATACCCTGCTCTTACACTCCATAATGGAAAGCGCGTTAGGGCCCAAACAACCTATCTACTCCGCCATCCTGGACTTTGACCGCAAGATACGGGATGTTTGTGTTCCATCGCAATGGAGGATGCCGATCGAGGACGAACCTACGCCTCCGCCACACGAAGTTTTCATGTATCGGTGGCTCGTGTTGTCCGCGAAAGAAACAGGTATTTTTAACCGTCGTTATCTTTCTCATCTCCAGATCTAACTTCCGTATCAAATAGCTCTTCTCAACCTTCATCGAATGTATCTGGGCCAGGCGCTGCAAGAATCTCCCGCAGACCTCCATCGACACCGATACGTGCCTTCTGCCGTCGCGGTCTACCGATCAGCATGGCGCCTCATCCACTGTCTAGCCGTGACGTGGCGGGCAATCCCCAAGTTCCTCGCTCGTGTCAATGTGGCGTGGTCGCATGGTCTCTCCGCTGCAGTAAGTATCGCTTTTTTTCGAACCCGATAGTTGGATTGAAGCTAACAATTCGCTGAAAGCTCGTTATGTGCCTCCTTGTCACTCGGTCTCCGACTTCGCATTTGACAACGCCGGCCATGGAAGAGCTGGACAACGTGACTTCTTTGTTCGATGCAGCATCCTCGTCGTGTCGGTCAGCAGCCAAAATCTTGGTATGTTCGAGTTCCTTCTCCATCGTTCTAAGGCTCTTCTAGTGTGCTTGACCCGAATGCTGATCCTGATTCCTAACAGCCTTCGATTCAAGTTCTTCGACGAAAAGCCCACGAGTCTGTTGGTCCGCCACATACCGCCCGGTTCTATCACCACCCCCATCATGACAATCTGTCGGGTTCCATGGGCGTGTCCAGCGGCGATAGCGGTATCACCATCGCAGACCTTGATCGACTGAACGGCAAGACCCACCTCTTCAGCGACATGCACTCCTCTTCCGGGATGAGCAACGCCCCAACGCCGATGTCCATGATCGCATCGACTTCGACTTCTGCCACCTCAACAGCGCCGACGGATGACCGCTCGCGCGCCACCTCTGTCACTATGTCCGACTCGCCGAAATGCACTACCACCGCCCAGACCACCATCTCCTTCAGCACACAGACACCCACACCCAGCATGGACACAACATCCATTCGGGTCATCAGCATCAGCCGCCGATGGCGATGGTGCCGACAGCGGATGATAACCTCCATCCAACGCTCGCACAGGACGTCCGCGAGTTTACTGTTCGGAGCTCCGTACCAGCTGTTCCGCGACTGTCGTTCTACGACCACCCGAGCGAGCTGCAGTCGCCTGTCGCCCCGCCGCCCACGACCGCCCATCCTCCGCCACCTCAACTACATGCACATGGACACGTACAGCATCAACAAGGACCGGGGCACCCCCAGACCCATGCTATCAGACAAACGCCGCCCGAACCGCCCAGGCTCATCCTACCGCCCTATCACCAACCAGCACTCTCTCCTCCGCAGACCCAACCCCAGCCTCATCCTCCGCCTCAAATGTCGACGTCAACATCCACCCCCCAGCATCAGCAGGTGCCACAGATGTCGATGCACATGCACATGTCCGTGCCTGCGTCGTACTACCCGCCTCCTCAGCCTCCTCCAGCGCCGTACGTTCATATCCCAGGGTTCCAGAGCGGGTTCGCTGTTTCGGGCATCGGGCCTAGTCTCAGTGCCGGAGGGTTCGGCGGATGGAATGGCGCGTCTCCTTTCGTGTTGGATTCGTCCTGGAATACGCTCGTTGAGCAGCTTGGATTTTGATTGAGTCCGGTTTGCGTTTACCGTGCCATCCTTCGTTGAAGTTCCACTGAAGTTATTGGTTAATCGTTTATCGTTGGGATCCGGTAAAGAGCGTTTGGTTATGTACTGTGATTTGATTTATTCCTCCTCGTCCTCCCTTGGCGCGACACAAGCTCGCTGTCTGATGTCCATTCAACGTGTATCCGTATTGTATTCGTAGCCGTCACCTATGTATCTGTGCGCAAGTAAGTAGTTTCTCCGGGTCTTCTGAACTGCAGGCAGAGTCTTCCCCAGAGTACACATATACGCAGAAGCAGCACGACAGCGTTGAATAGCGAAGGTCGGAGCAAGAGCAGGCGAAATCCGTTAGATATCATTAGATATTTTGCCGTTTTACATTTCTTATCTGCCTTAGCCTAGGCGTTCGAAAGACGACGAACATACTCCACCAGGGCCCTAAAACCAACCGTTAATTAGACCAACAGCTCGATTAAGGAAGACTCGAAGGACACCTACCGAACAGGACGACCCGTCATTCCCTTCTCCTGGTACGGCGTAGGCCGCGTAGCCTCCATGCTGCCCGCAATATCGATATGGGCCCACTTCATCGTCGGGTCCTCGCCGTCTTTGCCCTCGCTGCCCTCCGCGAAAGGCTTGAGGAAGAGGGCGGCGGTGCACGAGCCTGCTGGTCTGCCTCCGGTCTGTCAAGTAGTCAAAGTACATAAACAATTTGAGAAAAGGATAGAGATGACGAAGAGATGACTCACATTCTGCAAGTCAGCGTTCGACGAATAAATCTGCGGCCCAAAGTCCTCGTCGAGCGGCATGCGCCAGAAGCGGTCGTACTCGCTCTCGCCTGCGCCGTGCAGCTGCTCCCAGAGCTCGTCCGAGGTTGAGAAGACGCCCGAGTAGACTTCGCCTAGGGCGATGACCACCGCGCTGTCATAGAAATCGAACGCATATATATTAGAGATGGAAATAGGGAAAGAAGAAAAAGAACCCACCCAGTAAGCGTAGCGACGTCAATAAGCGTGTGCGGCTTGTACTCGGTCGCAGTGTAGTATATCGCATCGGAGAGGACGAGCCGGCCCTCGGCGTCCGTGTTGTCGACCTCGACGGACTTGCCGTTCATCGCGTAGACGCTGCACGAAAAGTGAACACGTCGTCAAGATTTGGATGGATATAGAGGAGAGGATGGAGACGTACATATCCCCAGGCTTAGTCGCACTCGGCCCCGGCATGTTCTCCGTTAGCGGTGTGCTGACGACGAGGTTGACGCTGAGGAAGGAAGGTTCGGTCAACGTCAACTTTGGAATCCGGGGCGGGTGGAAGGATAGAGGGCGTACGGGAGTTGGAGCTTTGCGATGGCAAGTGCAGCTGAGACGACGGTCGCAGCACCGCCCATATCTCCTCGCATGAGCTTCATGCCCTACGCACAACGTTACACAATGTTAGACGGATATAAGCATGGAAGGTGTGGCGCAGAGCACGTACCGCACCGGGCTTCAAGCTGATCCCTCCAGAGTCGAACGTGATACCCTTGCCCACGAACGCGAGCGGCTGCTCGTCCTTATTCGCGGCGCCCTTGTAGTGGCTGGAAGACGGAAGGATGAGCAGAGAATTGGAGATGGAGAAGTGGGGTGTTGTGTGCGTACATTTCGAGGAACTTGGCTGGTTCGGACGTTCCGTGTGTGACAGAGAGGAAGACGTTCTGTAAGAGGAATTAAGGACGCGAAGAGGAGGTGAGAAGGGAGAGGAGAGGGGTACCATGTTCTTCTCAGCGGCCCATACTGATGGAAAATTTAAGAGAGGAGAGGGGAAGGAAGGAAGAAGAAACACACCTTCGTCACGAACAATGATCTCAACGTTCGGAATCTCCTCAAACTCTTTCTTGACGCGGTCGCAGAAAGCCTACGTATCCTCAGCACCAGGCTATGAGAAAAGCGGGTATAAGATACTCACTGTGGGTGTCATCATGTTCGCAGGCAGCTCCATGAGCTACACAGAAAAGAACGCGTGGTTAGCTATCAGTCGTGTGAGCATAGAAGAACATGGACACGTACCGTGCGGGCAAGGTTCTGGGATTGGGCGTAGACGACACCACGGTCCCATTCCTTGGATTCTTGGAGAGGTGTGAACGTGAGTTTCTCCGGGATCGGTTCGGCCAGGTTGGGATTGAATCGTGAGGGCGGGGATGTTTTGAGGGTGAACTTGTAGAGTGCTAGGTGGGCAGCGACGGCTGTTCACACCAACGTTAGTGGAAATTCTTACGAATAAAAACGGTTTAAAACTCACCAGCAGCATGCGGGTCCGCCGAGGCATCGATAGCGACGTCCTTGAGCCCCTCATAGCCCTTCAACTCCTTGACAGCATTCCCCACCGATTTCCTAACAATCTCCCTTTTCACACCCGCCTTCTTCGCCGCAAAACCCTCCCCAAGCGTCGCAAGCGTCGTCACCTTCGATGCTGGGGTGTTGAAGAACGTGCGAGTGGTGCCTGCCTTCGCTGGTTTCTCGCCCTGGGGCGTCAGAGACCAGAGCTGGGCTGGGTCGACGCCGGTGGCGGTGGTTGTGGGTGATTGGGGATCGAAGGGGAGGACGTAGGCGGACATGGCTTTAGAAGAGAGAAAGCGGCGAGATGATGGTGGAAGACGAGGGGCAGATAACAGACATCGAGAGAACATCGGATTCTGAACGGATTTCGGAAAGAGAGCTCGGCAACATCACAAGACGAGCGCGAAAAAGGCAATTTCCGGCCACGAGGCGAAAGCCCCTAACTCCACAGACCTTCGAACTAGTGACTTTAAAAACTTCAAACTCTCAAAACAAAGCCGAGAATTCAGGTAAAGGACGGTGCTGCAGTATGTCCTTCCAACCGCCGTCTTCTTTATAACGGTTGCCCCGTCCTCTACTAGGCTCAACCCCATTCGATTCATCCTTGACACGAACTCTTAACACCTGAAAAATCTCTCCCAAACAAAATTTGAATCGCAGAGGGTAAGACATATCTGCGATCCTTCTCACCCATTTGGCGGCACTTAATTTGTCGTATCTGCGCCGTCACAGGGAAGATCGAGGAAATCGACGTGTCTGGTGCCGAGTGCCTCACCCCCCATCGTACCCCATGCCCAGCTTGCGTCCAACTGAACGAGCTCGACGCCAAAATTTGAGACATGGCCGTAGCGCTCATCGAGCAGCTCTACTCCCAACGATACGAGCTGAATATCAAGCGAAATCAGTATCACGACAGGCTTGTAAACGGTCTCCCAGTGGAGATTCTTTCCCGGATCTTTCATTTCGACGTTCAGGATCCGGACGAAAACATCACTACATGCAACCTCCACCAACGTCGGTGACAACCTTCTCGTCCGCTTACGCTTGCAGCTGTCTGTCGGCGTTGGCGTCGTATCGCCTCGACACCTCAGCTGTGGTCCACAATCTATGTCGCTGTTAGTCACTCCGACATTCCGCACACACTCAGCTCACACGAGAGTGGATATCTCGGAGCGAAGTCTATACATCTACGAGACGCGCCATAACCTGCCACTCTGTTAGGATATTCTGGGACGACGTTACCCGGCTGAAGACGTCTCGAATCAGCCTCTGCGAGTGCCTCGACCTCCTTCAGAAGTGCCATAATATCACCGCCGTCGAATTGTCCGATATCAGAAGTGCAAACCATCCAGCGTCAATCACACCCATAACGATGCGATCGCTGCGTGTTCTCCATTTAGTAGCCTTCGAGGCCACCACGTTACTGGACATGTTGTCCCTCCCAGCCCTAGAAGATTTAATTTAGACATGAGAAACTATTTCCATGTACTCTCGAACTTGCTCGAGCGTTCATCTCCTCCGTTACGCCGTCTCTCGTTCACCTCCAAAGGACTAGCACCTGTTCTGGGACAAGCCCTCATTCGGCTCCTCGGGGCAACACCCCTCCTAACGAACTTAAGCATGAAATTCGTCATGACGTCGGACATCTTCGATCGCCTATGTCCTACGGCTATTCCGGACGGTGATGCTCCTCGGGTACCCGATTTTCTGCCGGAACTGCGCGTCCTGCATATAGCCTGCGATACTGGCTATAAGTCTCTCGTCAAGATCATACCCTCCAGGCTCGACCCGCGCTCTCATTCATCGGCACTGTTGTCCGACTTTCGGTTCAAATGGGGCAGCCCGAATCCCGCTCATAATACGACGGACTGGAGAAAGCTGGATGTGATAGACGACGAGGTCATCTCCAGCCTCAAGGATGTTAAGAGGAGAGGAATCAGCATCGCGGTTGTTGATCAGAGGGGTAAAGATTTCCTTCAAGATGAGGGCGTCTAGAATCAACGAGTAAGCGCAAATTTCCGTTTGATAACGGCGGAAACGAACGGCGGAGACGCACTGACCTTGTGCTAACTCGGCGACAGTTCAATCCCGGTGCAGAGCCGAAGCCTCACCGCCCATCTACGGCGACACAAGAAAGGGAGGAGGGCAATGGTATCCGTCTCTATGTTGTGAACAGGTTTTGACGGGCGTCTTTGTAAACTGCGTACATGACTCCTTCTTGGTGTCAATATGTCATTATGGTCACATCGTTGGCTATTGCGAGTCAATTCCTGTCGTAGACAACTAAGACAAGGCATAAAGCTACGCATACTATTTATCTCGAGTAAATGAGAATGTCAGCGTGCATGCCGAACGTTGGCACCAGCTGCAATTAAAATTGGATATATTTTGCAGTGATTGCCATAAATTAGGCCAAGAGTTAGGGCGTACGTGTTGGTGAATGATTTGGCGTCCTCGATAAAATATTCTGAAGACGAGGCTGCTATCAATTCCCTGGGTCATTGCGTCGTAAATAGGTGTCCCCGCCTTAAGGTAAATTTCACGGAGATCGTCCTATGAGTCCCAACAGTGTAAATTGAATAGAAAGATGCAACGTTCATCGTTCAGCGCTCCGCCGCCCGCAGTGACTCAGAACTGACTAATGTTCAAAGAAGACTTTCGAATCACCCAATTTAATACTTCGAACGTGGTCAATTACGCCTGTAGGATCATAAGTTATTTAGGTCTCCTTTGATTCTTTGCAGCTGCAGGTTCATATTTCTCTGATCTTGTGGCAGGCGAAGATAAGATAAGATTGCAAGCGTCACGATGATTCAGATTTGGGGTCTGCACTGGCAGCACCTTGAGACCCAACCATCACCTTGAAAGAGGTCTTCGACCGACGAAATCGAGGTTCACTTATAATCCTTGTAGAGAAGCTCAGTATGGCATATTCCTTGATTGAAACCTACGCACTGACTTCGGCTCTAGAGTTCCTCTTTATCTTGTGTCAATGATGCCAGCAAACCACGTGTGCAGTCTCTGCGAAACCATAGGAGATATCGAGCACATCGACACTTCTGGCGCCGAATGCACAACGTCCCACCTCTCCCCATGCACCCCCTGCGTTCAATTGAACGAGCTCGATGCCAGAATTCGCGACACGACCGCACTCTTGAAGCAGCTCTATTACCAACGATGCGAGCTGAAGATGAAGCGAAACCAGCACCACGACCGGCTCGTAAATCGCCTTCCTGTGGAAATCCTTTCCCGTATCTTGCATCTCGACATCGAGGACGAAACCCTCCCCTATGATCCTTATCATCATCAGTCGCCATCGTCGCGGTCCCTTAAACTTGCGGCGGTGTGCCAGCGCTGGCGCCATATCGCTCACTCCACCCCTCAGCTGTGGACTACGACCTCTGTCGCTATAAATCATCGCAACGTTCCACTATACGCTAAGCTCACACGAGATTGGCTTTCTCGGAGCGGCAGCCTCCCACTCGATCTATACATCTATGAGGTGAGGCGAACCTGCGGTGACGAAGAGGACACATTCGGTCCTGCTCCCATTTTCGAAGCTATCAACGAGCAGGCGTATCGATGGCTAAACCTCTCGGTTTGGCTCCGTCCGGGCCTCCTGAAATACCTCCGCGGCGCTTGTAACGCACCATACATCATACGGACGCTGGGCATTACGACGTTTTCGCCATTCACAGAGTCTAACCCGCCTTTCTCGTTTAACGACGCCAATTCGAAGCCCCGACCACGTGAGGTCGTTCTATACGGCACAAGGTTTCGCTCCGTCGGTATATGTTGGGACGAAGTCGCCCATCTGAACGTATCAAGATTCAGCCTCCGCGATTGCTTCGAGGTTCTTCAAAATTGCCCCAACTTGACCGTCGTCGAAGTCTCCGATATCGAGCGGGAAGACGCTGCATTTCCGATGGCAATTAACCATAACGAACTTCGCTCGCTGCGGGTTCTTCATCTATTGGGTTTCGTTCCAGGTCCGTTATTAGATATGCTAACGCTCCCAGGCCTAGAAGATTTACACGTGAGGAGTTCTTTCGTTGCTCTCGCAAATTTGCTTGAGCGTTCTTCACCTCCAATACGCGATCTATGGTTCGCACCCGAAGATTCGCTAACCGTTGGTGGCGAAGCTCTCGTTCGCCTTCTCGAGTTGACACCGCTCTTAACACACCTAATCATGAAATACGTCACAACGTCGCACATCTTCTTCGATCGCCTGGTTTGCGCAGGTTTCACAACCAACGGCGTCCCTACGGTGCCCGACTTCCTCCCACATCTACGCCTCCTACACATCTCTTGCGAATCTGACTTTCAGTGGCCGTCTCTCACCAGGATCATACCTTCCCGACTTGACCCACACTTTCAATCACCGGCACTACTGTCCGAATTCCGGTTCGAATGGGGCTCCTCGGACGTTGAAAATACGACGGAGTGGGAAGATATGGCTGTTGTGGATTACGACCTCATCTATCGCCTCAGAGCGCTCAGGGAGGCAGGAGTCAACGTTTCGGTCGTTGACGAGATGCGCACCGACCTATTGGATGAGAGTATCTACTTAGAGGAATTCACGAGTAAGTAAAGGTTCCCGTTTACAACGGCAGAAATGCATTCACCTCAGTCCCACAGCACACCGGCGACAGTTCATCACCGGAGCTGAGTCGAACCAACATCTTGCATCTACAGTGACGTAAAAACGAGAGAACGGCATTGTTCTTCATGCTGTGGATGTTTACTGGTGTCTCTCATGAAATTCGAACCGCATGTTGCCGTGATTCGGCCATTCCGGCGAGGTTGTTGGTTACTCAGATCAAGAGACACTACTCAGCAGACGTTGGGCGATGCATTCCGACGTCTTTATGTCAGTAAAAGGAGGCTGATACTAGGCGTGCGCGTGAGTGACGAACGTCAGGAAGAGCGGTCCCATGTCGTTCCACCCTGTTCAGGTTAGTGCACCACACTCTCGTCGCACCGTGGAGAACGGTCGAGCCATCATCATAGCAGGCCATCTATTTCACTTGGATACGGATATCCTTACAACAAAGACCCAAAATTCGGTCTAGACATAGAGCTGTCGACTCGGAGGGTGAGCCACTCGTGAGCGACCAAATAGCACCAATCTTACGCACTGCCACCTCCACTTAATCAAAGGATGCAGGGTCAGGGTCGTCGACGAACAGCCCAGAGGTTGCAAATAGCACCTGCGCCGCTTTCGTTTCCGCTAGATCCACAAGTCTCAGAAGGCTTCCCCAATCTTCCTCTGCCGGAGGAAGAGAGCGGTATCTGGGTCAAGGGCGTTAGCTTATACTGTTCGTTCCACTAGAGAAGGCTATGGAACTAGGTATTCTCAGTACGATCTCGACCTCCACTCTTCGATGCTTCGGAAGTGGAAAAAGTTTTTTGAAGTCGTTCGTGCACAGAGGGCACGGAGGAGTCCTTGGGTCCCCATCATTCCGTACGTCTCCCACCCACCGCACCCATCGAAATAGACTTGAGAATTGCGCAAAGCGCGGCGTGGAGGCCGGCGTGAAGTATTTACAGCGGCCACTCGATGCGGTGTCAAATAAATCACAGGGCGCGTTCAATACGGCTATTCAAACCCTACAATCTCGGATAGGTAGGCCCTATCTTTACATTCCTCAGGGATGTCAACGGACAGCCAGGCCGCGTCATGGTGCTGCGCAAATGGCCGCTGTAGACACGCCGTCTCCACGGTGCGAGTTCAAGAACTGCTGTGGCTGCCTAAGTACCCAAAAAGATAGTTAGGTCAAATGCGACGCAACTCGGTTCGTCGAAGGCAATTCTATTCTTCCACACGTTGACTGTGACCATTGTTCTTTCGAAGCTCAGATCAGAGCGCGAGGATCCTTGGGCATACCAGCCACACTTCAGGCCCACCCTCGGTTCCCCAACACCTGTCGTAGATGTCGGAGTTTCCTTTTACGCCGTCCTCTGTTAGCATGCCAGAGCGTCGATCTCATAGCAGGAGTGAGCGGTAATTTCTATCCGTCGCCAAGGCGAATCTCGTACGTGAAATGAAGCCATATTCTCGGATTAATGAGTTCTAAATGAGCAGAAACGAGTGATAATGCGGCTTACCAAAGTCTACGACCAAATTGCCCACTTATGAAATGATTAATCAGCCCCTTGTCGAAAAGATTCGGACGTGATATCTTGATAGTCAATGTTGTATTAGGCCGCTCGACGGAAGGTATGCCTCTATTTCGATCGTGTTCTAAGTGTACTTGAGATAGGAAAGCCCATGAGATGTACGCTATCGCCGTTCTTTCGGCAGTGAGACAAGTTGGAGTGGAGTACGCTGTCTCCTTCGACACTCTACAAGATGCCCATTATATTGGTGGATTAGTGCCATACGCGTGTATGCGTCCGGCGCTAAATATTGGTCTCTCATCATTTATCATTGCTAACAGATTGGTCCGTCACTGTCTATCGCACCATCCCTGGAGTCGAAGATCAGGGATTGGTGGGGCAATTGTGGTCTGGCAGCTCATAGCGACACGATTGAGCGTCTAAATTTGTGATGGAACGGAAGATAGGTACGGCTAATGTATATACTCCGATAAGGGTGGAGAGCAAGAGTAATTTTAATGCAGACCGAAGAAAATAGGCGCTCATCCTAGACGGCTATCCTCGCCGCCGCTCGATGGAAGTGAAGGGTAGGCTTAGTACAGACTTCTCAGTGAATTTGGCAAACGGACGGACTAGAGAACAATAATATTGGAAAGCTTCATCTCCGTTAATGGGAGGGGACGATGGTCTAGGTGAGTCTTGATATTCTCACATGGCCGTCTCGTTAAGCGCCAGCGCATTGATATCGCTGATTTGTAAGGCTCACCATTTCCAGCCCCTAAGACACTATGCTCCGTTCCGCGCAAAAATGTAGGGGACGTAATTAAAGATAAGTACCTAGGGTGGCCTTACCGAGCGGGACATCTGCTGGACAGAAATGCTGCTCGTCTACTCGCCTCTTCTCTGGCAATGCTCGCTCATGCGAAACTCTGCATGAACTTAGATCCTTCAAGGAGAGCGTCAGGTGACAATGTTGCAAATCTCGGCGACCCATGAGTTGATACCCATCGAGAAGACGGAGGAATCGGAAAATTGGTCATTGATTATTAGCGGTCTCGGCATCCAACGTCTGGTAATGCGTCAGTCCTGGAAGTATAGCTATGAAGGGGAGACCCGAAGCGATACCTGTCAAGGGAGTCTTCCATTCTCATTTACCACAACACTATTGGATGTCCCATCCTTCTGGGTGATCATATGCTGCGTCCGTAGACGGCGTAGATACCACTTCTGGGTACTTCCCCCCAAAAATTCGTCTCAGTGTCACGCAACTTTGACTGCTGGTGTTCAGCGTTCGACGCCCTCTGTGGCACTCGATTTCCTTCCGGACATGTGTGTCTTGGATATTCTCCTGGAGATCGCTTAACACTTGCGTTCTCAATGTTGCGAATTCTTCGAATGCCAGTTTGAATCGCGTATCTGGGACTTATTGCATATGACGGAGGGGGTCACCTACACGGCTGTGATCGTTACGAGACTTTCAACCTCTAGGAAGTCTGGGCAAGAGGCGTCTACGCTTAGGTAGCTCACCAGATGGGTCACGGCCTACAGTGTAACGGCACTCCTTGATACACTGTCACTCCTTGATACAGTCCACATCCTGGGCCCAATTCCCCCTCAAATCCTTAGATTTTTACACATCAGTGCTGTTATATCGACTCTAATGTCTAAATAAAAATCGGAGGGTGGGGAGCATTATTGCTTTCAAAACCTGCAAAGGACATGATTTTGAGGGCGCTCCGCTAAGGAGCACAGGCTCTGTCACAAATTGAGTCACGCAAAATTTGCGATAAATTCACGGTACATTCTTTCTATACTAAGCAAAATGTGGGCGAAGTTTTGGGCCCGGAAGTCAGCCGTGTTGAGAAGAAACAGGCCAAAGAGACCAAACGAGGTGGAGAAGTGCATCATTTGGACTTTCCCACCCGCCAAATTTAGCGGTGATGCGGGTGTATCAAGGAATGATTCGCCATCAAAAAGCTGCCTTTCCTTGCGAGACGTATTGTAAGCCCAAATCGTGGCCAATCGAGCTGAAAATTGGCAGCTGTACTCGCAATATGTTGTGGAAAAATAATATCAACTTTAATTTGCAGTGAGTGTCCTATCTGCCTTTAAAATCGGAGATGACCTTAGCCTGTATCAAGGAGTGCCGTTACACTGTACTTGTGGCTGGAACATCCGCAGAAATCGACGATCAAGCACATGTTCCCATTGATGGCAGACACAACGCGCAGACTTCATATCAGTCGGAGACATACATCTCCGAGGTCGCATTATCTGCAATGACACGAATACGGGAGAACAAGATTGGTGTTACTTCCGTGTTGGATAACGGGTGTCTTCATGAAGCTTGAATGTGAGTGGCACTGCGCGTTGCCGTCAATTGGCCATTCCATTCAGATCGTCGGTTACTGGTCAGCAATGTCCGACTTTGTCCATGACGGAACGCAGAACTGTGATATTTATACCCCAACATTCAAAGTAGCGTGCGAGTGAGAACGATATAGGTTAGGAAGGCCGCCGAGATATGTCTGAGCATCGATTACGACTCAACCCTATTCAGGTTAGTGCGCCACAGAAGTTGTCAGTCTGACGAGAACGACCACTTCACGCAGCATGGGAACAAGCACTGTCCATAAAAATTGCTATGTTTCATGAAGGACTCGATGGCGCAGGTGACTACTGACAGGATTAACCAACAGGTTGTAACTATGTTCGGCGGCAACTCGGCCCGTCCACTGGCACCGGAACGAGCCGGCTTTCGCGACTGCATCGCCACAGGCATCGCATAACCGCTCAACATGGTTCAACCAAGAACATCCCACCATGAGGAAACGGGACGCACCGCCTTTATAACTCCTTCCAGATAGCTATCTGAAGGGCGTGACTCGTCGTGCGACGAGGAGTGGCACCTATCGTGAGCTGAAGGTACGTGCTGAGGAACAGGCTTCTTCGGTCTCCGCGCTAGAAGGCGCTACAGAAGTTTTTGACATGTACACAGATCAAATGCAGAGATGCGAACTGAGGTGTTCTTATGTCCCTATCTTGGTTCTCAGCTCCACCGGCCCCAAAAAAACCGCAGCCTGCCTGCAAACGATGCCTGGATAAAGGGGGAAGTCCCCACGAAGGCCTCTGGAGGCGGCGGGGTGGCAAAGAGAGCAATGTTACTCACAGATCTCTTTCAAACCATCGCCTATTCATTCCAGAGAACACAGCTAATTCGTTGGATTTTTTGGTGGTGTTAAAGGGCACGAGAACGTCATGGTGGGACTGCGCATATAACCGCCGTATATATGCTCGTCCGATCGCAAAGTGTGGAACAAGTTCAAGAGATGTTATATTTGGTACCATCTCCGGTCCAATACCTGAGTGAAGGAGTGTTATGTCTATTTTTCTTGAAGGCAATGATGTTCTTTGACATACCGGCTGTACGATAGCCAACTGCGCCCGTCGGCGTTCTTTGTGAGCGACGAAATCGCAGCGATTTTTACCCGACACACCAGACACCATTCTGGTCTGAATTTCCGACGCCTATCGTACATGAGGAGTATTTTTGTTCCTATGAGATCCTGGACGGCCGTGCCATAGAGTCGAGGTCCTGGAGCTTAAAGCGTTTATGTAAGAGATCAACCGCTCTGCAGGAAATAGAGCGTATAATGCGACAGCACCGGTGCTCTTTATCAGGCGAGAGTATTAAAAATGAAAGAGGTCATAATTCGATATTAATTGTCATCGAAAGGATTTGGTGATACTGATGAGTAATTAATTCATATAAGCATCCTCTTATAGAGTAGAGCGATACCGGGAACGAATGTGTATTTATACGTTCAAGTAAGGATGAGCACGAACAACTTGATCATATTCGATGGCTACTTGAGACGTGAAGGCCTCGTTGTCCTTGACAGGCTCCCTTGATTCCCGACCCAATCTCTGGTAAGCATATATTGGTTTCCATCGTATACCTGCCGAAGTTCATAAACAGGACTCGTTCGCACTCCTCGTTTCTTGACATCAACATACGGTCGGAGGCAATCAACAGTCGAAGCCTAAAGTGAAGGTGCCTAGCCTCGTATTGCGCTACATGGGACGCTGCCAGTACTCTCCCAGATCTTGGAAGATACGGAAGAAAATTTGGACATAGCTGATGCCCCAGATCTATACGAAAATCGAGCAGTATCCGACCCAGATAATTTGACACCATTGTCAGTAAGCGCCCACGATGCTATTCATTGGTGCTGGAGAGTTATTCTTGAGAAATCATGTTCTGAGCCGTAGAATGCAAAATAAACTATCTAATTACTGTTGCCATCTCGGACTCAAGGTCAAATATGAAAGGTGTGGAAGACAGGTGGAGAATCTTTGCCACAATCGCTGTCCGGCTTTACGGGCGCCTATCTCCAACTGGGCTTCGGGTGTTCCGCATCGTCGTCACCCCCGAAGCATACGCAACAATGCAGGACTTCTTGATTTAAAGCCGAATTATTCCAAATGGCTCGGTAGATGCCCGGAGTTCTGTGTTATGTATACGCGTACGGACGCAACATGGTCCATCTACGAATCGGACGATTGGTCATACGCCGTTATGAGATTATTTCATCTGCAGTGCGTAGCATGAGTTCTGTCAAAGCTGACATGTGGCAGCTCTATTGCGGTGGTAAAGGATAGTTTAGAAACACCCACGTTTCCTATCATAAGAACTTGTTTACACCTGCCGAGACCGAACGAGTCCACCGAAACGTGGTAACTTGCCAACGGGGAGAATCGTGTTCTAGGCCTCTCTTTCCTGGCAGTATGGCATTAGAACAGTGCGCTATATCTGTCGCTTACAAACCGACGACTCAGGCAGACATCCTATCGTTAAAGGTGTGGGATAGGAATACCCTAACAACTATCCGGATTCCGGACATGACAGGAAGGTGCGTGGTTCGGCGAAATTTTGCCTCCGATCCATTTCATGGTTGTATCATTAGAATAATATACCTTCTTTGGAAGCCCTGAGATTGCTCATGGAGCAGGCTCTAGATTAGCTTCGCGATGTTGAGAATGGCGGTTCGCAGAATGTTCAAATTTCAGTTCTCCACTTGGATATCTATTGGCGTCCTTGGATTGTCGATAGTGTGTATAATTGGAGATATTATTGTCCACAGCTCACGCAAACATAGGGAGCCGCACTAACGAGGAAAGTCCATGAGTTGGTGAGCTTGGGCGTGCGAGAAACATGACCATATTTGGGCCATTGCGCCACAGCGACATCAACTCTCCAACCAGTTAGGATCCAGTCACAGAGATACCACTCCGTCCAATCTCATGTAACAAGGTCAGATAATTTCTGCTTATCATAAACTGCATTTCCGCAAGGTACTGGTGCGATGAGTTTGAGGCAGGGAAGGAAGAGTTATCGTGGGAATCCGGCTCGGAGGTTCTAGTCCGGCACACTGCCACCGTTACGGGAGGAAGTATGACTCGGGACGCCACACACCTGCTGTCCTAGTTGCAGTGCCCCATCAACCAATCGCTGTAGACAAATACTCAAATGTTAATCTCCCCGCTTCCTTCTAACTAAAGAGGTCCTGCAGTAGGGCTAGGGCTGAGGGCACGACCGAAGACACCTGCCGTCGCCCGCATGGTTTGCTCGGAGAAATTTTCCATTCTTGTGGCACCGCGTCTTTCTCTGAACCAGGGAGCATTTCCCTCTGGGCACAGATTAGACCCCACCGTATTCCAGAGACATCCAGGATGGGTCCAAGTACGCACCGCTCACTCTATCTCGCATCGCAAGGCATGAAATTCGGACTCAGTCCACTGCATCGACGATCCAAAGAAGGTTCGACGGAGTGATTCTTGTCCCTCTGGGCTCGATTTGTACTCTATCCAACGGATGTCCTCTACTTGTCAGTTTTTCCTTCCACTACCCATCGATATACGTAGGTTCTTCGGATCTGCACATCCACGTCGGTGTGTCCAGATTCGGAGACCTCAGACCAAGTACTATCGCAGTACGCCAGCTGTCCAAGGCTGGACGGTATAGCTTGAGCTAGGTCTATGGAGACGAGAGAGCATCTCTACGATGAGGATCTCATTCAGCATGATACTAACGCTTTCATGTCTCGAAAATTAATTGGCAGATAGCCGTGGGAGTACCGTACCTCGAAAGGTGGTGAAAGCCGTTTTGAGCGATCGGCGGTAAATACCTCAGCGCAGAGGATCGAGGTTTCTCGGAAAACGGCGCACTTGAAAGGCTATAGCACCAGCTCAGAGACTTGTCTCCGAGTTGAAATAGGCTAATGGAAATACGTAGAAGGTGCTAGAAAGATGATCTCCATTAAATAAGGTCTGCAGCATGCTGAACTGAACTGCGTCGACCGTAGAGTAGTTGACCACGGCTCGTAGACCTTTCATTCGTGTCATGTTCTGCTACGGGCTAAGCTTTAGTTCTAGGTCTCTCGGTCAAATAATATATAGCAGGGACAGCGCCTCGCTCGAGTCCGCTCTGAGCAGTTAAATTCGCACAGGTTGAACGGACGGGGTCCCTGATTTAACGGCCTCTGTCTCCGTTCCATTTACCCCGCGTAAATCCCAGAGGATAATTTGCAAGCGTGACTCGGCTTGGACCCAAAGAAATCACCAATAATAGCCGCTCGTTCCCGCCCGAGCCTTTCTTTGACACCTGCTGTATTGCACCGGGCGCCGAGGAAGATGGGTCTTCCATTCTCCTCTACCCTGTTACTAGGACGCAAATGCACTTTCTCGTCCAGTCTGGTTGTCCATTTGCTGCGTCCGGATGGCCGAGAGACGCACCCTAGCCTCGTGATAAGGTCGGCCCGGAAGCTTCCGGACACAGGAAGACTGCGAAATGGGCGCTTAAATCGGTGAGCGTCTGCGAGCGACCCGTAGGGCCCGGACTTCTCTATCACATTCACGAAATTTAGATTCGTGTGTCGAGCGCCTATGTACCTGCTGACTCAGACGGCCCCCGGCATGAGGTTACTGCGTTTCGATACTCGTTGTACCGTAGTTTGAGACGTACGTTATGCACTACCTGCGTGTCCCTGAGATCAAGAAGTCAGTACACCTATTTATTTATACACGTCATCGGCATTAGTAAGTGCGAATCCCGTAATGCAGGGTGCTGACTCCCCTCCCGCGACCAGCTGCGAATATCTATCTGGTGACTCGTCCGCAGAGACAATCAGGCTTCTGAATCTGAATGCTAGCAGCTGAGAGTCGGACGAATGTGGCTCACCGCTCGTGTGTGCGGGCCTATTAATACGAGAGGTTGGAACTATGTACAGATACAATGATGGTACGGTGGATGTGAGACGTCACCAGCGTCCCGTCGACACTCGACCGAGAGGCTGGTGTGGACGCTGTCCGAGGATGGCCGGGATGGGAAAGCTAAACTACAGCATAACGATGAAATGAGGCAAATGCAAATGCGGGGTATACACAGATGTAATGAAGCAGGGGAATTAATATACTCGGAATCTGGAGATGGGAATGCTATAGCGATTCAAGGGGTCGGAGTGAGGACACGTCAAATGATAGCAAGATACGATATATGGGCGCCTAAACACTAACGCCGGACGAGGTCTAATGAGAGGAGTGAGGGAGGAAACATCCAGAAACGTCCCGAGGCAAAATGATAAGCTGCAAAGGTATGGAGGTGTGCGCAGATCAAAGTCGACGGCGATCTATCGAGGAAGCGCAAGACGAGGAAGGGGGTACCTGTGAACAAAATAGTCAGCAAAGCAACTACAGACGGAAGAGAAATTACCATCATACGACGCGACAAGGAATCCGGAACGAAATACGCTTGATAAATAACGACGAACCGAGTATTTGAAAGAGTAACGGACAATGCAAGCCAATAGAGCAGAACGAGCGAGCAAGAAATGAAATCATGAGAGTCGTGATTATGCGTTGAGGCGGTCCCCGGTCTATCCACCTCAACGCGAGAAGCTAGGAATTGGATACCCATGAGCAGCGAGCACCCGCTCCATCATGAGCGCCCGTTCCTTCCACACGGCCGTCTCGCGTGTGAGACGCGTGTTCTCCTCCTTGAGCTGCTGGAACTCCTGCGCGCGCCTCGCCCTCGAACGACGGGCAGCGAGCGTGTTCCGACGGCGGTTGTACGCCTTCTTCTCCTCCTCTGTCGCGTCGGGGTCGAGCGGGTCGAGCTCCTCGCTCAGGTCCTCGTCGTCGTCCGAGTTGCTCAGGGCCTGATGCGCGGGTCGCTTGCGAGAGGGGCCCGGCTTGACGGCCCGGCGATGATTGGGATTGGGGGGTGGGTGGGAAGGACTGGAGGTAGAAGAGGAGGGCTCGGGAGAGATACGAGGTGGTCTACCGAATTGGTACGCCTGGAGAGAGGGGTGTATCCTGCTGGGGACTGACCGCTCGACAAGAGAAGCTGCAGATTCGGAAGAAATGGACCGGTTATGGGTGTGCAAGGGGGTCGAGGGCGTCGACGGGGCCGAGAGGCTCATAGTGAAGGAAGCGGGGGATATCCCGGAGAGGTTTGCGGTAGAAGACGGCGCCTGAGGATCGTAGAGAGATGTGTATTGGCTCATAAGCAAATCCCCTGGAGTAGGTTCATCCTTGGCGTTGCACGGCACAGGTTCCGAAGATTGCATTGGGTACGCGACGGCGTAGGGGTAGTCGGGGAAGGTCTCGTCGTTCAGCTCGAAATCGTCAAGGGTGGGGATGAATGGTGAGTGGGTTGTGTTCGTGAGGTAGCCGGACGCGCTCGTAGGGGGGAGGTTGTAGGACGGAATCTTGGCGATCTCCGAGTGGGCGCGTTGGGTAATTGTGAGTCGATTTGTGAGTCCTTTCCATGATTCGGTCAGTCTCCTTTATACTTTTCTGCGCGTCCCGGTCGAAGCCAAACCAGTTCTGAGTCACAGCATTTGGGTAGACCTAGGGGTAAACAGAGCGAATTAGTGGCTGTGAGTGATTGTGACGAGAATTGAGTCACACAGCCTTTAAGGAACCGCCGAAAACCATCCTAATTTGGGATCCCGCCCTTTGCCCAGTTTCCCGTAAGCCGGTTTCCTTCGAGAGAAGTGTATCTCGATCACAAGGACAAACGCCTGAAGATTAGATATGGGTTCACTTGCAGTACCACAGTCCAGATAAGCCCGGAGGTTGCCATCTTATACAAAGAAATAAAATGCATCCTCCGAAGCCGGGGAATTGGTCACGAATGTACGTAATGCATTGCCTATTGGAGGCGCAATGTTGGCCAAATTCGGATCTTGAAAGTCGATGCTTGCCGACGTTGCAACCCACTGCCTTAGTGTGAAAGCCCCTCCCTCGACATGAATGTTGAGATTTTCACGGATAGAATTGGGCGCAACGTTCCATAGATAATTATGCCATCCCGTTCAACGTTATTCACCTCGGGCATAGACACAGCGCCGTCGACCTTTACGGCGTCTATTCCGGTCATTGTCCTCCCAGGACCCAAACAAAGGCTTCACAGCAAAGTAAAGATCACTACGCGACAGACAGGCTGCCCACAATATTTATCTCTTTGTATTTTCCTTTGTGCTAGAAGTTTCCTTATTCTCCAGCATGAGAGCAAGAGGGAAGCTTCGTTTCAGGACGACCGTATGCACTGTGCCCACGCAGTCAAGGCGCGACGTTCCCCGAGTAAGTCATAAGGACCTCCTGGACCACTCTTGACTCAGGAAACGCGGGGAGGAGGGGCGAAAATGTTCTTTTATAAGCCAGAATTGGGCAGGATATGTAGGTCGAATTTCTGCAACGGGAATTCACGACCCCAGGAAAAGGGTGCAGATATCGAGGAATGCTTCCAGTTGAACGGATACCAGGATATGTGATAAACGAGACAAAATGGAACAGATAGAAGCGTTCCGTGGAAATACTTGGACTGAGAGTGACTGCGAAGAAGATATTTCTCTGACGGGGTATGCACATGTGCTTCTTTCGTAAGTGGGCTTCACGGTACGCCCACGGAGTCCTTTTTCGTCGTACACAGCTGGGGTACTAGACCGATTTCGAGAAGAAATTACGGTATAAAAACGAGTCCCACGTCCACAGAAAAATAATTTGTCGAGGTACATTTCGTGTTTCTTTATCATTGGCATCCATCACTGCGCCGAAGCTCAAAGTTTCTGCTGTATGATAGCGAGGTACGCCCTAGCTCTCTTGCGGAGTCCGGTAGCGAGTGTGGGTGCCACTGTCAAAAGGCAGAGGCGAGTCATAGCCCGTCGATAGCTCTGGCAGGAGCGAGTGCGAGAGGAGCTCATTTCCGAGATGGGGCTCCAGTCCATTGCGGTGCGTGGGGAATTAATCCACGGCACGCCCAAGGAAACAATGACATCCTTTCACGCCCGCACCATTCCTGTCCGCGTCGACAAGTGACGAGTGAAGGGCGGCAAGCAGCGGGTGTTGCAAGTTCCAAAGGGTATCCGTAAGGGGGCGTTGGTAGCATCATGGCCTCCTTGCCGTAAATAGGCACGCGACGGGGCTGTGCTTCGGGGCGGCGGCGCCTTCTCCGGCGGGTGCACGATGCACTCCTGAAGGGAGCCCTCACCGAAATGACCTGCACTGGTCTTCACTGGTCTTCGTGAGCTCCTGGCTTTCATGACCGCTGGGGCTCTTCCAGTAGCTACACCCCGGGTCGACAACGGCATGCGTGATGAAAACAGGCTCGGTTGCCCAAGACGACCCCAGATTAAAACAATACAGGGCTAATACGGGGCTGTCGGTCAGAAGAGACAATCAGCACCGGAACAGACGCCCTGAATTTCTAAGAAAGCCAATTTTTAGCCAAGAAAATTGGAACGGAAGAGCGGGAGGAACAGCACGGGATTCGAGATCATGCACACCAACAGTCATCCCCTCACGGAGGATTCGAGCCTCGTCTATCGAGGAGAAATGTCTGTATAGTTCAGAGTCTGGTTAGACGCCTGGAGCGTCGAGGCTCGCCCAGACGGTGTGGAGGAGATGGAGGTCGCTATCAGATTTGAATTTCCGCTGTGTTAATAGGCTGATCGGGAGTTGCCGAAGCCGTCCCGAACATTTCCTGTTCGTTTTCCTGCTTCTCCCTTCCACCATCCACCCCACCACCATGCGCGTCGCCCTCAACACCGTCCTCCGCGCTGCTGCCCGCCCCGCCGTCGTCGCCCGCGGCGCACGGGCCACTCCCACCCTCGCCCGCTCAGCCCACGGCCACGCCCAGGAGAGCTTCGAGTCCTTCTCTGAGCGATACGTCACATTTTTCCAAAACGCAGAGGACCTTTTCGAGGTCCAGCGCGGCCTCAACAACTGCTTCGCCCACGATCTCGTACCTTCGCCTGCTGTCGTTGAGGCGGCTGTGCGTGCAGCCAGGAGGGTAAACGACTATGCGACTGCCGTTCGGGTGTTCGAGGGTATCAGGGAGAAGGTTGAGAACAAGACCCAGTACGATGCCTACGTGCAGGAAACGAAGCCTCTGCGTGAGGAACTCGGTATGTGGATTCTAGCTTGACGTGGTAGTGCACAGAAGCTGATGAGTTCCTTAGGCTTGTTGTTGAAGGAGGAGCTGTACTCGTCATAAAACACGTCGTTTTCGTGGGGCTAGGTTCGTCTATTCATAACTCACCGTTGGCCGAAACCTAATTAGCTCCCCTCATTAGATGCATAGAACGAAAGATTAATCAACCGTACACCTCTACAACCTTTTTCTGTACCGTACGCCAAGCTGCTTTTGAACAACACGCCTCTCGTTGCTCTGAAAAGTTTTCCTGTTTGAGAAGGTTGAGAGGCGGATGTTCCGGGGGGTTTGAACGTTGGACGTGTTAGACGCTGGACCTGCGGTTACTTCGCAATGTGAGACTCCTTGTACCCTTATCTCTGATACACGTCCCGTTTCGTGACGTGGAGGACGAGCGTGGTGTCTCTGACCGGGCATTTATGCACCCTCGATGCTCACAGCACTTCCGTTGGAGTACCAGTATTAAACCGCAGCCCTCCGGAGCCTCGTGTTAGTCTCCTTGAGCTACGTGTCGCCGGTTCCTCCACAGCAGCGGCTACCTTCGTCATCGCCGACTCCTCCGTCTAAGCCACACAATCCAGGATTGGAGCCCATCGTACCGCCAGATCTTTCTTCTGCAAAGGATATTCCTGTCGGTGCACAGTCATACCCTCTTTGGATACGAGGATGATTCATCACCGCCGGCAGTGTTCGAATTAAGTTTGAACCCTGCTGTTCTCCGTCGTCGAAGCGCCTGCAGTGCACCTATCCGCAGGTTCGAGTCAGGAATTCAAGGGTTGACGAGGTGTATCGGTGTATTTGAAATAGGTTCGTTCCCTTTCCTTAGTTGTTGGAGCGACGGAATCGAAAGTTCTTCCGTAGATTCGACTCAGCCGTACTCGCGGTTCTCGACGAGGAAAAAGGTCTTGTCCTCTTCGGGCCCGATACTCCTTACCCCAATGCGTCCGTTGCTGTCCTCCTTTGCCGTCATTCTCTGCGGACCCGCCGTTCAGATTTTCGTAGCCCGCCCTCGCATCAGTTGCTTTTAGTGTTTATGGAACGACCCACCTAACGTCCGCATAGCGGTCGACCTATATCGCTCGCACATCGTTACGCCCCTTGAAGCTTCTGTCGTCGGTGGTCGGACTGCATGATCCTCGATTCTTACAACATCGTCTTTCTTTCTTAATCTGCATAAGGTCGAGGACGATGATGCGTTATTTCTTGGTCAACGCAAGCCGCACCACATAATCCTGTATCGGAACCAATACCGCTCCCAAATATTCTCCAAGGCCTACTTCTGTATGCACGGTTGTACCCTCAAAGGATCTCTTCATTCGATATCAGCGCTGGCTCAGTTCGAATCAGGTTTGAACGCTCCCTTTCGCCATCGTTCAAGCGCATGCAGTGCATTGGGGCCGAATTAAAGGTTATTCTATAGATTCGAGTCAAAGTTTACGATTCAAGGCAGGGTGCATTCGTTTCTTTTTTGAGCATCGACTAGGAAGAAGATCTTGTCAGCTCCGATCTATCTTCAAGGTTCAACGAATACGACGAGTCGTTGACCGCCTCCGCCCTCATTCTCCGCGGGCCCCCACTCAACACCCGCACCCAGCTTGAGCTCCGCCGATCACACATCGTTGTGCCCCTTCAAGCCTCTGTCGTCGGCGGTCGGAAACGATCCTCGATTCTCACAACGTCGTCTTTCTTTCGTGATACTCATCTCGAAGTCGACACCAACATAGGAATTTTAGGTGCTAGCTTCGTGCCCGAGTCAGATGGGCGCTCGCGATGGCAAATCGGCAGTCTACCTCGGCCTCAGAACTGCGATCCCCGTGGCAGGGCGAACCACGCTGTCTGTTGTTCGGAGGGTCATCGATGGTCATCGCCAACGTGTACCGCACTATATACCGAACGGCTTGGAGGAGAAGGTTTGGTACCAGTCAAAACGGCCAGCTCGAAAGCGAGGTAGGACTCCTCCTTTACGCGTCTCTTCATCTCATCATGGCTCTCAAGTCCAACACTTCTGCTCAGAGAACCACCCGCTGTTGTCTACCAATCATCCTTTACCCCCGACGCCTGCCCACCGTCGCCGTCGCCGTCATCGGGCGGCTATGTGCGAAGTTGGAACTATTTTCGGTTCCTCATCCTTCTCTCCACATGGAAAAAGGTTCGCACCGCCTCAGGCTGCCTAACACCGCCAGAACAACCACCTTCCTTGTCCTGTAACACGATCGAAGAACTTCCCCAGGTACGTAGGGCAAACCACATCCTGCACCGCATTCGATCTATCTGTTAATGAGTTGTTTAGGGCACGACGAGGCGGTGTTATAACGGATTCTCGAATTCTTCGTACGAGTATCTCACTTGAAATGTGTTCAAGGCCTCTTCGACTTCCAAGTGCTCGTTATTTCTGTATAATTTTGTCGGTCAGGACTTGCATATGGCTCGAGTCACTTCAACGTCCTCGTCCAATAGCTCAGTGCGGCTGTGCCGAAACGTACTCCAGAGACGTGCTTACATAATCCGACAACCTCTGATCTTCGACTTGGTCTCTTTTCCTGCAGACTATTCCGCCCAACCTGCACGCGCATAAGCCTTTCGACCTCTGAGTACGTAGCCTCAGTAATATTTCTGAGAACGACACAGAAAATTCACCCCAAATCAAAGCAAAGCTCTCTGGCCACCCTGCCCGGCGCGGGGTTGCGGGACGTGAACGTTGAACGTTTGAACTACTCTATTTAAATCCCCACCCGTCGCTTTCGCCGCATCTCAAAAGACCCACTTATCGTAAGATTTCGCTCGTCCAAAAGTGGATTCTCATACTTATCCCCTTAGGTCGTCCAAACGTTCGGAAGAGCAGCTAACCGTTGCTTTCGCATCCGGAAGACGCGTTTCGACTGTAAGTTGCATCTCTTTCAATAAGGCGGCCTCCTTTTCTCAGCATTCAACTTTTACTTCACCTCCAGAAGGGGAGCATACGCCTGGTACTTGACCGGGATGACTCGTAAAAGTGTGCCTCTCACACCGTGCAAAACTGCCGCAGGTAATCACTGCAAAGAACGCGTAGATCTCCGTCGATTTCGCAGCCAAACGAAAGTTCTCGAAAAACCGCATGTGCTCGGCGATCAAGCGCTCGCACGACTCGTTCATTAGCCAGCTACACCTTGACATCGCTTCGAAGATATCCACGTACTGCCTTCTACATCGTCACACCGATCGTTCTGAAGGCTGGGACATGCTTCTCGATATCGACGGCGCGTAGCTCCTGGCTTTATAACTGGCCGTCTCCTTCCATAGTTCACAGTCAGCTTTATGCAGGTCTCGCATGCGTAACCCTCGGCTTAGAAATGAGGGCGCCTCGCTGTAGACCAATGGATACAACTATAAGACTTCAAATTCGATTGGGAGACAACTACGACGACCACGGTAGAATGAGTCGTCCAGTTCGAACGTTTAGTTTGCAACTTCTAACCCGCCATATTCTCCCAACAGCGTCATCGAAATACCCTGAGACGCTGTGAGGGTTAGGAGTGACTTTGGAAGAAATAAGAAGCTAACTGTAGCTGTTCACTGCAGGGGTTGGTGAATGGGATCGTGAAGCCACTCGCACCCTACTTTGACTTTCGATACACGCGGGGCGTCCGCTGACATAGTTCGCCGCCCGCCTCCCGTAGCATCAGGAAAATTCGGGCCCACACGGACACGAGAGACCTCGCGCTAGTCGACATTTAGCGGGCTCGCTTCGACGTTTTCTGCGGGCCTCGAAGCTTAGTCTCGTTCGAATGTCAGACGACCAAAGACCAGACATAAATTTTTACTCGACCCTCCGGGGTGAGGCAGGGTAGTGAGGGAAATGGTTGTGTTACGCCGACTCGGATTGTCGAACCGCACGAGAAAGCTCCGCGCCCAGACCCTAACTTCCATATCTTTTCCTTTCCGGGATTCTCACCATATCAATATCTATCACAATTGTCAAGTTATAGCACCAGGAAACAGTGGGCGATCCCGCGAGTTCAATACGGCCGTCGCTGCAACCGGATCGAGCAGGCGATGGACTACCCACTTAAAATTAAACTACAGGTCTCCAAGTGCTTCGACAGAGAAGCATTGATCCCGCACTCATCGGATGGCGCAGTGTCCTTTCTGCAAAATGAACCCACGGGTTTTCGGGGAGCCTTACCCCACATATGGACACGATACCTTCTATTCTCTTCAACAGGGTCTCGACAACTTTAGTCGTAAGGCGCTATGAGGTACAGAAACCAATGCCTCTGGTGAAGAACCCATAAGCGCCCACTAAACGCTGAATTTCAAATTCACGGCAACTTACAACAGAATGGGGTGGCTCTATTATTTGACGTACATTCCCTTCCACAAGTAGTAATTCTTGAGCTGCGGCTTCTCATCCGACGAAAATGTGCCACAAAATGACAATCTATTTATTGCTAATTATCCAATTCTCGTGAGTCCAACATGCCGAGAAGGTTGTTATTGGCGGCTAAGGACCCAATCTTTGCGAGAAATAACCATATGCATGAATATAATTAAGTAATTCCATGTCGAAGTCTAAGTGAGCACTCGTGGAGAACTTGAGGCCTAACAGCTTGTGGCAATGGCCGTGGACGTTCGAGCGTGTTTTACGCCGGTAGAATGCTGGCGATTTCACACTGTCCAGGAACAAACAATAACTGGATTCCTTAGCAGACGGATTCTTTTTAACGTCCACTATGTCGGTAAAGAAGGGGAGGAGAGCAGAGATGATCGACCTCAAAGTCATTGCCTCCTTTGTGGGTCCAGATCTAAGTTGTAGATAAGATTAGATGAGGGCTCTTTCGAACTCCGCCATGTCCACTTTCACGACGAACAAGACGATAACACCCACTCAATGCATCTCCCAAACTCCTGAACCTCTTCTCCAATATGGCCGTCCTTCTTGCGCTGTCGCTAGAGCTGCAGTTACCACCCTGCTACTTGTAACCTCTCCCACGTCCTGGAAAGCTTCATGTCCTTCTATCAACGATACGCTGTGCTCTCCCAAATCACCAGCGCAGCCTCAACAGCTTCTTCGGCCTCGTACCATCGCACGCTCCTGTTGAAGCTGCTATGCGTGCTGCGAGGACGGTCGACGCCTGGGCAGCTGCCGCCACTCGAGTGTTTGAGGGTAGTATTGGGGTGTGCGCAGGAGATGAAGTCTCTGCGTCGGGGCTCGGAACATTGATTTTGGGGAAGCGTACTGGTGATCTGACGCTGATGAATCCCTTAAGCTTGTTGAGGAACAGCTGTACTCTTCATGAAGCACTTTTTCGCGGGCTAGGTATGTCTATCCTTATCACTTTTCACTCCCGAAACTTGATTTTGTGACCTCTAGATCCGTAGAACGATGGATTAATCAATCATACATCTCTACAACTGTTTTCTGTACTGTACGGGAAACTGCCGTCGAACAACACGTCCCTCTTTGCTCCGCAGGTCTTCCTGTTTGAAAGGGGTGCTGATGTAGACGTTTCGGGGGAGATTTAAAGACGGATCCGTTAGACGCTGGGTGCGTGGCTGCTTCGCGAGCGTTCGAATGTGGGACTCCTCGACGCTCCTCACTTATATCTGATTCACGTCCTTTCTCGTGACGTGTCGCGTCTATAACTGTGCAATCGATGGATCCTCGAGATGCAGCACTACTTCTATTGGAGCCATGACTCCATCCGCAGCCCAGTAAAAAGCTTCGCACCACTTCGCCGTGATCCCAGACCACCATTATACCCCTTTGTTTACAGCAACGGCATCTCTCCTCATTACCGACTACCCAAATGACACCACACAACCCGGATTCGGGCTCATCTTACCGCCACATATTGTTGCAGCGGATATTTCTGTTAGATGCACAGTCGTACCAGCATTTGTCATCATCACCGCTGGCTGCTTTCGAATTTTCTCCATCGTTCGCGCGCCTGCAGTGTACCTGTACTGAATCGTCAGGTTTACGCAGGTTCGAGTCAAGGATTAAAGCGGCAGTGGGGTATATTGGCACGCTTAAGTTGGGTTCTCTCTAATTGTCGGAGCGCTCGGCGCGCTCATGCATTCAGGCTGCAATGGATGATGCTTGCCATTGCAAAACCCGCTCCTGAGTTGTCGCCGTATCTAAGAGGAAGGTATCATCAGCGACACCAGAACCGCAGAATTGGAAGGGAGATGCGTACCGAGTGCGCCATCGTGGGGCCTTTGTGGAATAGCATTGTCATCATCGTCAGACTCGAGCGATTCTTCTGAATCAGCATCGCTGCCCTCTGAATCTGACTTGTCGTTGGAAGAAATCACGCCCACAGAAGCAAGAATTGCCTTGTCTTCCGCTGTGAGAGGTCGATCTAAGCATACATACATGTCAAAAACACCACTACACCGGAAAGATAGATCAGCGTACCTCGACCTGAGATGAGAAAGCGACAATAGTCCTTGACGTCCTCTGGCGAGGCTTCCGGTGCAGGCTTTTCGATGCTCGCTACAAATCGAGAGGAGCTTGCGCCTGCACGGGTCCCCCCTCCACCTCTTCCCTTTGGAGTGAGGGACGCTCTGTCACCTGCCCCAGTCTTGACGCCGAATTCGTCGGCAGGCGCCATATCCACATCGCCATCACCATCCCACTTCTCCGCTTTTTCCTTTCCTTTCTTTCCTTCCTCCTTCTGGATCGCCAGTGATTGAGCTGCCTCAGCCGCGTAAAGGGCACGACCAACAATGACCGAATGGTAAATGGCATCTGCGAGTTGAGTGGTCAAATCAACAAGGTCCTGATATTCTTGGCAGAGAGTCGTAGCGAAAAATTGTTTGGACCTTTCGAATCGCCGGAATGCCATATCGGCGTTGAGGACGACGAGAAATGGGTTGAGCGGATTGCTTTCCGGACGCGGGAAAGGCGAGAAAGAAGAAAATCGTTGAGAGTTGTCGTCTTCATCTTGGCGCAAAGCACCATCCGGACTGATGGTGTACACGATTCGAACCAATCGATGGCGATTTTGAGGATCGGGGGCGTGCATGAGCATGCCGGAGCCGATGGGCAAAAAATGGGATGGGTGGAGGATAACCATCTCATACTCTGCGCTCGAGAATGGTTCGGACCTCACCTATCACGATGGCATCAGTAGGGCGATGGATTGGAATGCTTGCGACTTACATTAAGGCGACGGATGTAGTCTTCCCTTCCCATGGCGCGACGATCGTATTGTTCATTTTCAACCCTGACTTTGTCGAGCATAGCTTGGAGAGTGGCCTTTGAGCAAGTGACAGCCAAAAAGCTAAGACGATCAAGGAAATAATGCAGTCTTGTCCACTGTTGAAACAATTGTAAACCATTCGAGAACGAGGTCGACAAGAAGACCTACGAGGGGCAAGATTGCTGGCAGAGTTTATATTGAACGCATACGGAACGATATGGAGGCCGTGTAGAAAAGCTTCCTATATTGAAGTCAGAATGGGACGCAAAGACGAATGAATGTGCGACGTGCCACAGCGGCCTTGCGGGGTCGGTCCTTTCTAACAGCATTGACCCAGTGAGCGTTCTCAAGACCATACCCAGGCCTCCTTGTAATGAAGCATCGCTCAGCATCGCTGATGCAGTCGCGCACCTCGCGTTCAGACGGAGTGCAACTGGGTGATGTCGACGCCACAGAGGCTGAGCCTACAGAGTGAGTGCGATGGATGGCTGGCAGAGAACATCCCGGGAGATCTAATGGCTTGACGGTGTTGTAGTTGACATTGGTCGAGACACGGTGCGTGGGCTTATCTTGAGGTTTGCGGATGTCTGCCATGGTGAGAGTTCAAGTTCAACTCGCGTATGTCACGCGCTCCAGGTGAAAACGCGTGCGTCACATCTTTGTCACGCAGCTTCGCCAACTGCCACGCACTGGTGTGGGAACCGACTTTATGTGCGGTCAAAAAGGCGTGATAGGGGTGTTAAACTTTATATACACGATTTTTTTGTGTCAATAAAGTTCAAATAAAATTACAATAAAATCTTGCTTTCCCATGCTCATAATTTTCCGAAAATCATCACCTTTGAGGTAATTAGTAATGACTAAATTTACCTGTCCTTTTGTTGCTCCGTAAAAGACAATAAAAGCGCAGAATTTGGGACGACAAAAAGGATTGACATAAAGGGTTCGGGGATACTATAAAAGGAATGCCCGAGCCCTTTATATCAAATTTTGCTCACAATTAAAGGCATCAATTACCTAACAATTATAGACGAACATAAAGTGTTGATATAAAGGGTTCGGGCATTCCTTTTATAGTATCCCCGAACCCTTTATGTCAATCCTTTTTGTCGTCCCAAATTCTGCGCTTTTATTGTCTTTTACGGAGCAACAAAAGGACAGGTAAATTTAGTCATTACTAATTACCTCAAAGGTGATGATTTTCGGAAAATTATGAGCATGGGAAAGCAAGATTTTATTGTAATTTTATTTGAACTTTATTGACACAAAAAAATCGTGTATATAAAGTTTAACACCCCTATCACGCCTTTTTGACCGCACATAAAGTCGGTTCCCACACCAGTGACGTTTCCGAAGGTTCAGTGCCTAACCTCCGGCAGTTGACTTTCGAGGAGAGCTGGGAAGGATGATTAGATGTTTTCCTAGCCAAGTTGGACCTTCCTAGCCTCCAACGGCTCGAGATCTCCTCCGCCGAGGTCAATCTCGAGCCCCCACTGGATCTCGCGTCACACTTCGCGAGTTGGCATTGCCCACTCAAGATGCTGTCATTGAGCGACCGCGAGACGCGCGGGATGGACATGAAGAAGGTGCTTTCGCAGGTCTCGTCGCTCGAGTACCTGGACCTGTCTTCATCGGAGAACAATTCCGCCGCGTGCAATGTCCTCTATGCACTTGCTGACCGCTTTGGTTCAGCCGACGGCACCGTGTCGTTCCTTCCTCGCCTCAAGAAGTTCAAATCATTCAATACCCCTCCTACTTTCTCTTTGGACGTAATTCCGAGGATCTTCGGTGTCATTTTTGACAATATGGATTTCACATCCCCAGCCAGCATTCCAAAACGGCCGGTTCTACAGAGTGTCACTATTCACCTTAATCCGGGACCAGATACTAATGAAGTGGACCCGCAAACGATGCAGAAATACCTTTATCTACAAAGGATCGGAATCGAGCTGGAGATTGACCCACCTCTTTTGTCTTCTCATCGCAGTAATAGGGAAGGTCAGAACAGGGGAGATCAGAATGGACGGTTCTCACCGGTTTTTCCATTCGATTCTGGTTCCGGTTCTGAGAAGGAACCAAGTCCTCAATAACCGTAGGAGAACCGTGCACCAAGTAAACCGGCGCTCCGCCTCCAGAGGCGGAGCTCACACCGAAGCCGGGTTCTTGCAAACACGGTTCTCTCACATCAGCCCTCGAGGCCTCTTCCCTCCTTTTCTCCTGTATAATTACCCTTGATAGGTCGTATAAAAAATGACGAAACACTGTAACTATTGTATTATTCCGTCCTCAGTGGGAAAAATCCATGTAAATCTCTTAAATTCGGCCGAATGCGAGGATAGCTAGCACATTCTTGGCTAGAAAATTAAGAGGCTTTCTTGAATATGAAAGTCAGTCATAGGGAGATATTTGGACTTCAGGTCGAACGATAGTGACTGGGTAGCCGATCTGATCCCTCCACTCGTTAAAACCCCTACACGCGTCTTCGACCGTGCCACGTGCCTTTCTCCCAAAATATTCTCGAAGCTGAAGCTGGGCGAGTATTGGGAAAGGAACGCGGTCTTTTAATTCAGGATAATTTTTGCTGGCCGTGGTCATTGCACCGAGGGTCTTGACGTCGGTTTCGAGTACATGGATATTAGACAGGGCGGCGATGAAGGACGCTACATGTGAGTTTGTCCAGTAGATTTCTGTGTCCAGTTCTAAGTTGAGATGTGTAATGGTCGCAAAATTGCACAATGAGAAGGCATCAAGGACGAAGAGGAGATATTCGGGGTGGCCATCATTTGCATCTTGAATAGTGACAGAAAAGTGTCGGCCTTGATCCCAGTCAGTGTACTGGTGCGCAATTGTAATCCCACGGTAGTTAAGGTGGAGCGTAAGCGGTGCTTTGTCCATTCCAACGTCGAACCAGTTCTTGGAGTGCATCGCCAGGGACTCGTGGAGGAGATTCTTTGTGTGTTGGAGACTCAGACGACCTGATCGTTCTTTGAGACGGACGTGCAGTCCGCATCCCGCCGCTGGCACAAGATGCTTGAGGAGAGAAACACCTGTGAGGAGAGTGTCTCGTCGTTTGAGGGAATATTCTGGCTCCAAACGAATGTCGAGAAGGCGGGGTAGGTGTGCGGTGGGAAGCGTAACGGTGGGGTCCTCCGGAACGACAAGGTATTCAGTCGAAATATGAAGTGTTTCAAGATTCTTCATGTTGTCCAACGTTCCTAGGAATGTCGCCAATGATATTCCGATTTTACCGTCCTCCCCTCCTTGTCCGAACAGAAGATGGCGCAAGTTCATCAGCCATGGTGCTGACAGATCGAAATCGTGAATTGAAGGGCAGGAAAAGGATCGGAGTAGTGGGGCGTCTCCGCCAAAAAAGCCTGGAGGAATATGGATTACGTGCTCTGTTTCGTCGTCTTCTTCATCGGATGTGTCGGTGGGTTCTTCGGCCTGGAACGTGGAGAACATGATGGAAAATTCTTCGAGGTAGGGCGCTGGCTGATATATCGCACACCACCCCTCGTCGTACGTGTCCACGAGAGAAGGGCGAATCAAGATGTCAAGATGACGAATACGAGGCCAGTATTCGTGAAGGACCGTGCGGAAAAGGAATTGCTGGTACGACCATGAACGCACATCTCCCGCGAATGACAAAGGGGCGCTCCCAGTGCGCCTGATTATCTCCTGTTTTCCCTTCTCTGGAAGTTGTGTCAGCGCGTTGATGTTCAAAGCGGATGCCCAAAGAGAGGGCGTCTCCAGGGCAAGCGTTCGCCAGGAGTGGCACACTCGCGACACCGCTAATATGTTCCGAATGGCTTCGTATTCTGGCTGCGCGTTCTTGGAGAATGTAAGGAGTAATACGTCGTCGTTGAGGGCGTAGATTGGCGAGGTCATCACGTTTGAAATCTTCATCGCCGTTCGATATTAGCGGTCTCTAAACAAACGAGGAAGAATGTCAGTGCGAGAACTTTGCACCACCTATAGATGAGAGTCACCTGGATTGCCCAAGAAACGAATTCCCAGAGTTGGGGGAAAAGGGAGTCAGAGATTGCGATCGCTTCCTATGTGCCTGTCTCAATATTGCCTCATGTCGTGGGTCCACATCAGTCAAGGCGAGATTAGATACTGATTGGAACGCGGTCCCCCAGATAAGATAAGATCACATCGAGATTAGATATGCATCCAGCCTGAGCCGCGTCACTCTCTTCTTTACCTGCCACACCGGACACTCTTGCGAAGAACAATTTTACCGACAAATTTATATAAGGTAACTCACTTTCTCTCAGTAGCTAATTGATGCGCAAAATAATTCACGCCTTGACCCACGACATTCCAGAAATCCCTATGTCGACCTGCCCCCTTTGCCGCACAACGTCTCTCCTAGTCGGAACCACGGACAAGATACCACCATGCCCAAAGAACGTCAATACTTGTATCCCATGTGCCAAACTCAAAGCTCTCTTGGGGGAGATCGTGACCGCCAAAGCGCATCTCGCAGAGTTGCTTACACGGATTCCACCCCTCCATCACGCCATGAACCACGCCCATGACCCCCTCGAAAACCGACTTCCTCCAGAGATCACATCGCATATATTCACTTTATACGTGAATTCCTCCCACCTGTCTACTTCCGAGTACGACGTTCAGGACAACAACCGATACCTCCCGTTCACTCTCAGTGCTGTCTGCAAGAGATGGCGAGAAATCGCCTGGGCTACGCCGAATTTGTGGGCCACTATGAGTGTGCGCCTGGACCCGGAATGGATGACCCCAGGATGATGCCAGTTGTCCAAAGACTGGCTCGAACGTTCAAGAAGTCTCCCGCTCACCCTTGTCATACGTTCACGGTCTCCTCTATTCATTAATGCAAACCCCTGCGAAAGGAACGATATCCAGTCCTTAATCAACGCCGTCAACGCTTATTCGAGTCGCTGGGCTCGTCTTATCATACATGCACCCCATTCTGTGATATCACGCCTTCGCGGAGACGGTCGAGGGACGACAATCCTCAACGATCTGGATATAAAAATCTGTGAGTCCGAGAGAATGGACGCTGCCGATAACTCGACTTCTTTCTTCATATCCGGCGTCATTCCAACTCCAGAGCACGTCTCCATTCGAGGCTTGCGATTTCGCGCTATCGGACTCAACTGGTGCAATGTCGTCAGCGTCAACCTGTCTGGACTGTTTGTCGATGAATGCCTCTGCCTCTTTCGTGAAGCAGATCAACTTCACTATTGCAAGCTTCGCGTCGTGTCGGGAAACGACGGACACTCACTCTCACAATCCGACATTCTGAACGGAGCAATCCAAGATTTACAGATCGAGTTCTCCGACGCTGAGCTGTTGCCATCGCTATTCTCCAGGATTAAATTCCCTGCATTAAACAGCCTCGAATGCGAGGCAAGTGACTCTGATTATGGTGGCGATCGCGACACCACTGAGGCAATAGCGGCTTTTGTTTCGCGTTCAGCCTGCCCCCTGGAGTACCTGCAGCTATGCGAACTCAGGGCTCCTACAGCGGACATCATTCGGCTACTCAAGTTGACCACCAAGCTCGAATCCTTACACTTGTTCGACAACTTCATAATGGATGAGTTTCTCGACTTCATGGCTCAGACGAATACCGCCCCAGAAGAGGGTGACCACTTTCTCCCCTGCCTCAAGTCGTTCTCTTTCGGCGGCCCTCAGACGTATTCCTGGACTTCAATTAGGCGCCTTGCTCTAGTCCTTTCAGCGGGGGTCACTGAAGTTGGACAGACAGTGCGTCCCTTGAAAAAACTTGAAGTCGGTGTCAGGCAAGGTGATCCCCGGCTGTCCTTCATCGACGAAGACACAATCTCGTGTATTGACACACTTGAAAAAGTTACAGTAAGTGTGGATGATTCGTCGAGTGGCGATGACTTTGTACAAGTCTCGAGGGAATACCATCATCATAGACCAACGGTACGAAACGAACGAACTTAAACAACGAGTAGTTGGAGCGATTTCTAGATATGCTCAACACTAATCCGAAAAATTCCAATGTCAGCTGGTGTATTGAGCCTGAATGAAAACGAGAAGAGAGACGTGCTTCAAAATCAAGAATCCTTCGCCGGGTAAACACCAAACCCATTGTCTTCAACGTCTGTCGAAAGCCCTCGTTCACCTTCACGATCCCTCTGCTCAGCTTTCGGAAAAGTTCCAGCATTTCCTCCACCTCCTCATCATCTTCGACGGCACTGACGATGCTGACATGGAACAGCATACTGCCGGCGCAGGTGGTGACGTTGACCCAATAGTTTTCGCGGCCTCCGTCCCCTTTGGCGTTGGAGTTGGCGATGGCGTTGGATGCTGAAATCACCGAATGAATTGCATTATGAGAGACGGGGTTTGTTTCGGAGGAGCCGCCTTGGGAATATTTGAATGTTCGCTCCGTCTGGGCAAGCGCGTATGCGAGACACAGGCGAAGAAAAGCGGAACGAGCGTTGTAAGTGGAGGAGGCCGTATATCATTGTGGGCGATAATAGCTTGGGCTAGAGTCTGAGGAACACGAAAAAAAAAGTGAATATACGCATATATATGCGGGTTGTGTGAGCGTACACGTTCGACTTGGACGTTTCACTTCGAATATCGCGCCCTACCAGAAATGGGACAACAGTTAGCCAAACTGCGAGAAGGAAGAGTAAGAATTGACGTAACCTAAGAAGCTTGCGATGTTTCGGACTCGACCTTCTGCTTCGCACCTCTTGCAGGTCCGCGATGGAGGCTCGGGTAGGAACTAGCAACATCCAATCGAATCAGTTCTGACACTAAAAAGAACGAGGATAAATCGAAGAGTATACCTACGTGGCATCTCCTTCATGTCTCAACTAACGAACACCACCCCGTCGGTCCTGAATACTCGGCGCGTCCTCCCCGCCAGCTCTCATATCGCCACTCTGCTGACCACGAAATCCGAGCCAGAAACGATCTTCGTATTGGCAACCCGTATCCACAGCATCGTTGCCGCGATGCGCAATCGACGATCCCAAATTTTCGAAGCCTGTCGAGAGCCTAACCACCAAACATGTCGTGCGGCTTCTCATCTGCAACTGGGGCTGGCGTTGTCACCGGTTTGGGTGCCACATACGTAGATGAGACGCGGATAGGGAGCACTTGGGCGATGAGGATCATCTTGTTCGTCCCTAATATCGCCTTCTCCTGAGCCGGTGCTGCATAAGATATAGCCTCAGCTTTTGTTATTGATACGGCGAAGAGAATGTCGGCACCGCTCGTAATTCTGAGCAAGAAGAGGGCGCCGTTTGAGGTGCCCGAAGAGCAATGTGGCGGACGGGTCATCCATGATGGGCGAACGTAGCAGAAGCGCTCGAACGGACGGAATAGAGGTTGAAATGTTGGAGTACTGGTAGCGGAACGTTAGTACGACCAAGACATACAGCGAGCAAGATGGGTCGAAGGAAAAAAGCGAGAGAAAAGTAGAAGAGGAACAATGACCGAGAAAGATGGAAAACGAGGAAAGAACACGTACGAGATTCCCTGACCGCGAAGTCCTGTCTTTCGCTCTCCTTGCAACCCAGACCTGGTCGCCTATCCTCTTCCATGCCTGGATTCAAGATCACTGCGGGTCGACCCCTTCAAGTTCCATTTGATATTGAGAGAGGCGCGACTTTCAAATCGTTACGGGCACCGATGTGGAAGGTTCGAGGTTCAAAATTGTCCAAAGACTAACGCTGAGACGTGCCGGAGATACATACGAGCCCTATGCGAGCAGTTAGCACGACCAAGCACCAGGAGGTTGGCGAAAGTAAACTTTATGAAAAAAAATCTCGGACGAAGAGATGACTCTCACAACTCGACAACATGTAGGAGGATATGTGAATGGGCAAAGTTTTTTGGAGCAAAACGAACAAGCGACGCAGTGAAGGAAAAGGGCAATAACGCAGGAGAGGACTATACGCGATAGAACCACGTACCATCGAAGCATCCATCTACTTTTCACTTCCAGATCCTCTACATCAACCCCTCAAGCCTCAGCGATCGTATGTATGAATTTCGCGCTTGATTTCGGACTTGCAACTGGTCGCGGCTGGTCGCGGGTAGCAGCCTTCGGCTCTCGAGCTGTCGAGGTGAGTAAGGCTGAAACCTGACTGAACGCGGCGATTGGCGTCAACGTTGAAGGTGGACCAACAGGACTCAACTCACTTCTGCGAGTCTGAAAAGGCGCTATGGTTGCAGGGCGATTCCCGTGTGGTGTGTAAGTAGTGCAGATATGCGTTGATGTCGTGTTTGCGGGAGCGAAGGAATGCGAACATCGGTTAAGAAATGAAATCGCGCCAGCGTGGGAAAAGATATCGGCTGGCGATTAGATTAGATGTACGCCTCGAGTTTCTGTGCCAAGCCTTGCCGTCCTGGATGCTTGAGGAAAGCGCCTCGAGAAAGCGCCTCGACATCCAATGCCATTTGGCCCGGGAAATACCTGGTAGTTCATGGATCGTCCGCACCGCGCCCTAGCGCCCTCCCGAATCCTCTTATACCTCGGAAATTTCAGATAGGCACACACTAACTGTGCCTTCCGGCCTGGAGGGTGTACCATGTCAGTAGCCCCATCTCACCCGGCATCGCTACGGGCCAAAGATTAGTTCAAGAGATTGGAAGGCAAGTTTAGGAGGAGACGTACACGGAGAAGAAGCACTGTGCACCTCCAACGACGGAGAGGGAGCTGACTTTGTCGTTCCAGAAGCTGTTACTGCCGGTGAAACTGACTGCGAACGTTCGAGAGAGGAGGTCAGCGCCTGCTTCGGATTTACGGTGGAAGAGGAATGGGATTTTTTGGGAAAGGAAGCCGACGTACCACATTGGTTAGGGTCGCCCTGGAAGGTGGTGCAGTCCCCGATGAAATTAGCGTCGCTGCACATGGTACCCCAGTCAAAAGCGTTGACCAGCTTGGAAGAGATTTTGGGAAAAAAATCTAACTGTAGCTGTTAACTGCAGGGTTGATTCTCGACGAATTAATTTGCCTCTTCTCCTTCGTTTTTATAGCCTTGAGAAAGCTTCTCACATGAGCCCCCGAATTGGATCACAAAATCCCTTGCAGCCACTTACACCCTCGATACACGAGGGCGGTCCACTCAAGCTGTTCGCCGCCCGTCTCCCGTAAAGCCAGGAAAGCTCGGGCCCACACGGATGCGACAGGATCTTGCCTGCCAACTTTTACTGCGCCCGCTTTGACGTTTCCTGCGGGCCTCGAAACATTAGTCTCATTCTAATGTCAGATCATTGAACAGAAGACTTACTTTCGAACTCGAGCTCCCGGGCAGAGACGGGGTAGTGAGAAAAAGGATTTTATTACAGTTTTGTGCCGTCCTGGGCCGCGACTGTTGGAACTTAGGCCGACTTACGATGCCCGCCCGCACGAGCGAGCTCTGAGTCCAGACCCCAGCTTCACTTTTCTCTGCCCACCGTAATCGGACCGCCCTAGCAGTTTACCACCTATAATTAAACCAATGGTACCATGTGCCTCAGTGTCGAGAACCTTGATTTAGAGGATTCAACGCTGATCCCGCTTAACACCGAACGGACGGCGCAGTGTCCTTTCCCCAAAAAGCCGTCAGAGAGTCTTACCCTTCATATAGGCTCTACTCTTTCCCTCCCCATAACTATGTTTCAAAAATGATTATCATAAGATGCTTTGATGAGTAGAAACCCATGCCTTCGGTGAAGAGCCTATAAGCGCCCGCTAAGCGCCGAATTTCAAATTCACGCCGCTTACAATGGAATAGGGGAGCACAACCATTTGACCTCACCATAAGTAGTTCTCTGTGAGTCGTAGGACTAAGCTCCGACACAAGTGCGTCACTACCGCACGCTCTCAGGCGACTTACTATGGATTAATTCTAATGAATTTGACACGCAGAGAAGGTCGGATCCGACAATCTCGGCCGCGAAAAAAAAAGATATGTAGGAATATATCTAAGTAGTTCAATGTCAAAAGTCCTGAGAACGGCATACTCCTCTGGCGAAGAGCCTATTGCAGTGCTTGACCGGTTCCTGGCCTGTCAATTCCACCCCCGTGACCATGCAAGTAACAATCATCCCTGGCTAAATATTGACCGCCTGAGAAGACCCGGCTGAACGTTTATAATACTCATTTAAGTCTCTACTAACGTACGCATTCGGGGCTCCTCAAAGGGCGCTTCACCTGCGCACGCTCGTCAAACCTCATACATGCCGCCGAAACATACGTTGCTTGTGATACCGCTCAGAATAGTCGATCATGTCTTCCTCCGTGATGCCATTCATGATTCGGAGGTCAATCCCTCGGTCCCTTGCAGAAAGGAATTGCTTGACGGACTTCTTGTCGATATAGTACGCCGGCGAGGTCTTTTCGATCTTCCGAAATCTGAATTTCACGGATTGAAGGAGCAGTTCGCCATCCTCGCTAACCACGTCGGCTCGTGAGGCAATAGCTTTCGCGACAGAAGGCCATCCAAATGTCGGGTTTCCATGGCTGTAACTGAAGCGTCGAAGATGGGGTAAGAACGTGGGCAGACTTTTAGCATCAGAGCTGGATTGTGGGATGGAAAGGATGTCAAAGAAGTTTTCTGGAAGGCGACCGGTGCCGATGTAGAGCGTCTCGAGGGATGAAAGTGCTTGTATCAGTTGAAGAGGCACTTCCCCATTCGATCCCTTTGAGCCGCGACTGAAAAGGTGGAAATCCGTGAGAGGAGGCGTGGACCGCACCATAAGTGCAGTGAGTGCTTCGAGGTCACCTTCGTATGCGAACGTTCTGAGGACCGGAAGCGCCAGATGCTGGAAGACTAAATTTGCTAAACTTGTTATGACAATGCGGAGATGAAGGTCAATGAGGGAGTTATGATGAACAATCGAATGACGGAAAGGGTTGTCGCTACGGTGTTGCATGATATGCTCGACGCTACACCGCGAAATCCGTGGAGCCCGCTGAAGGAGAGTAAGGAGCTCGACCGCGGTCATTTGATTGAATTGGACGTCTGTGACGTGAGACCAATCGACGAGTATCGTGTCGAGGGGCATAAATGCGTTCTCCAGCTTTGGGGGGGAAGCCGTGAAGTTGGCGATACTGAAGATCTCGCCGTTGGGAAGAGACCATTTTTCATCGTCGTGCCAGGGGTACCCGATATCCAAGCACTTCAACACTGGCGCACCGTTTCCGTCCCCACACAGAACGGGTATCAAGGTGAATGGAATTTGAAGCTCGAGCTTGGCCCATCGTGCGGAGTATCTGTTGATGATGCCGATGACTTGACCCAGATTCTTCATATGGTGTGATGCATTGGAATTTGTTTCGTCGAAGAAGATGCGAAGGAAAAGAGGACGATCTCCGGTCCGCTCAAACCAGTCAATTAAGAGCAGTGCGCGGTTCTCGAAAGCCTCTGGATCTTCAAACTTGTTCAGGTAGACGAACATGTTGTTCCAGAGCTGCGCCGTAGAGAAAGCGATACGGCGCCATTTGCTACAAACAGCCGCCAAGACGAGTGGACAATATGCATCGCCTCCAACTTCTCCGAGGAGTTCTACTGGACGCTCTCCAGAAACGAAGAAACTGAATATTTCTGTGGTGATTTCGAGGGGGATTCGACTAGTGAGGCAATCGTGTGTGGCGTTTTTGCGAGACCTGAGCTCCTGAATGTGTTCCTCCAAGTGGGCCAAAAATGACTTCGTCTCTACGACCTGGGCTTCAAGGCTTTCAATATCCAGGCATGCAGTGCACGCCGATCCGCCTACTAAACACGATCTTGCTAGAATTCGCTGAGGTTGTCTGGTTTTGTTTCCGTGGCTGCAGATGTTGCATATGCGCATTTCCGTGAAGATTTCAAATGGATTTTGAGAAGCTGAAAATAAATAAGGTTGTCAGCGTGAAAATTGGCGGAGGAGGTCGTGCAATGAACCTATTAAGTCTTGCTGGAGATGGGTTAAAACTTAACGTTAACCGACGTGACTCTTGTACGCGGAGTCACCACACAGTGACATCAACTCTTGACCTATTTCCATCATCATGGCGTCGGCGAAGGACGACAATATACCCACACAGAAACGCCTAAAGCTGGAGAATGAAACAAGTTAACTGCCATGAATTCTTCTTCCCAGCAAATCCACCTTGCGCACTGTCCAACAAGCACCACCTGATTACTCTTCCTGACCCGCCTTCATGTGCGGAAGTGTTCAAGATTATGATTACTCGGCCTGGATTCGATCATGCGTGGAGGGTACCGGTAGAAGTGGGATTTCAGATGAGGTTGAGCGAGCGTGGGGAGAGGGTCATAAAGAACCTAAAGAAATCAGTTCGTCCGTTCATCTTACGACGTATTGAACCTTTCACCGATATTCTAATCAGGTTGGAATTGTGAACAAAGAGGCCGTTCTAGTCCGTTTCCTGTGGCACGAGCGACGTTCCAGGAAGAGCACAACTACCTTCTCATGCATCGAGTCTGCGTCTGCTAATTGTCCATGACGACGACTGTCGCATGATACCTCGAAAGCTCAACGAACCCCCTTCAGTCATCTGTACGTTCCTTACTAGATTTTCTCACCTCATAACGCGCGTACCGAGACCAATGGTACTTTTCCTTTGTGCAGCATCCGTCCCTCCGCATCTGCAAATTTCAATTCACCCATCTTTCCTCCAAACTTGCCCTGAGCAAAAACAGGCCCTGGTCATACCTCCAAGAAACACCTCGTCTGGTCCATCTTTTCCTCCGACCCGCTTCACGTCCGACAAAGCAAGATTGCAGTCGTTGAAGAGCATTGAGGGGTCGTTGGGTGTCTCTTTGCACATCGAACCAGCTTCTATATCGCCCACGACGCCAGTAGCCACGTCTACCGCAGCCTCAACCCAGGAGGAGCCGCTACCACAGACATCGAGGACCTCATTGTGCACTCTCTCATCATCGGCAATTTTCCACTACACCTACACCGGAGACAGCACCCACTATCCATCGTGGTTGAAGAAAGCTGCATGATGGCTGGGCCATGGAAGTGCTCTGGAAGTTTAGGTTGTAGAGGTGCGACTGGGAGGTGCAGCGCCGCTGCAGGTGTCTTCAGAGTGTGTTTCTTGGTTGGCAAAGCGCGACTAGATGGTGAAGAAGCACCAGAGGCGGGTCTCGCGAACGAGGGCCTTGCGTTGGTCTATAGAAATGTGAAGGCAGTTCCGCGTACGTTTCCCTCCTCCCTTTCGACGCATCTCCTCCATGCTGATTCGATGTTCTGAACAGTTCCTCTCTATGCCTTCGTTACCAATCTTCAACGGATCAAGGACTTGAATCACGAAGGTGGACATGGTCTACAAGCTATTTGGGAAAATGTCGACTCGTAAAGTTCCTCCGCAGTTTGATTAGTAACTGTTCCTTGATTTCTTTTCTAGGTCCCAATAATTTGAAGTTGAATTTGACCACGCCAAACACGTAAGTCCTCGGCGCCCTTATATGTGTACGGGGATATATACACACTTTTCCGCTTTTTCTGCGGAATCCTGCCCAAGCCATCGCCCACAAGCGAACGTACAGCCTCTTCTCCGCCTACGACGTCCGTATCACACTCCATCAAGCTCAGCTCGCCCATTAGCTCGTCCAAACGGAATGAGCGTTGAATTACCATCCACTGCTGTCTGTCTATCCGTGAAGCGAATCCCAGCCACGCATCCAACCTCTTCCAACTTAATGACATAGCCAATACCAACGACAAATGACGCCTGTCTGTGGCGACTACTGGATCAACGTCTCCGCCCGCGCTACCGACCTGGAGCACCGTATTGGCGTCGTCAGCATGAAGAGAAGAGGGAGGCCGTGACGGAGGAATTGGCGGTAGAGATCGTGAAGGAGTGTGAGGGTCTGGGCAAGATGTTGAAGACGGTTAGCAGCGTGTTTGGAAAAGGAGGTCATCAGCAAATCCTGATTTTGAGGGTCAAAATGACCTCGATTTCAGCGTTACACCGCGTTATGGCGTGTTACGTAGCGCTGCGTAACGCGCCATAGCGTTGTAATGCATCTTCTTATCTACCGAGATGGTCCCCAACTACGGAGTGCTACATGCCCTCATATAGCACTCATAACCCAACCAGGAATTGCCGATGGTCTTGGTTACGAAGTACATTTCTTTTCTGAAGGATGAACAGTTGCTAATTCTCGAACATTTAGGGTCCACCCATGAACAGCTCTTGAACTATTTACACGTTGAACTACGCCGCAACGCCCTTCTCTTGTAACAGACGCGACGACAGCGCCAGGACCATCTCATTCCATAGCATAACCCACCATCTTTACCTCAACACACGACCGCCCTCCTCTCCGCTGCTGAACCTCCGGTCGCACGGGCCACCTCGCCCAATCTCACGCCCAGGACAGCTTTGAGTCCGGTCGCAGCAGCAGCTTTGACCTCGTACCTTCGCCTGCTGTCATCAAAGCAGCGGTGTGTGAGGCCAGTCTCAGGAGGGTCGACGGCCGGCAACAGGAGTCCGGGTGTTTGAGGGTATCAAGGAGAAGGTCGAGAACAAGAGCCAGTATGTTGCAGAAACCTGTGTGAGGAACTTGGTGCGTTTGCTTTTGGCCTGATGCGGGAGTGCACTGCAGCTGACAACTTCCTTAGGCTTATCGGCTTATCATAGATGGAAGATACATACTCTTCGTCAAATACTCCTCCCTTTTGATGGCTAGGTCCGACTATGCATAGAACCTTTCACGTTCAAAACCTAATTCTGGTATTAACAGAACGATGGATTAATCACACCCAATGCATAGCCCCACAACCCGTTCTTGTATCGTACGCGAAGATGCTATTGAACAACACGTCTCCCATTGGTCTGAAAATTTTATGTGCTTGAGAAGAATGCTGAGGAATTGAAATGTCGGATGCGTTAGACGCTGGACCGTTCCTTCGCGAAACTTCGAAAGTGGTGTCGCGGCTGAGATTGCACATGTACGAATTCTTGACGGTTTTGCACGTTGGACATGAAGTTTTGCGTCACTTCGCTGTTGCTCCTTGGTGTCCAGGCCGCCCTTCACTCAGAGCAGCGGCAGTAGGCCCATTCGAAGTTATACCGGGAAAATGATTGTGGTCCGAAAGATGGAGAAACCGCCTCAGGTTTGCCTCCATTTGTTTTCCTCATGGCTACCTTCGCTTCTTGTCCTCCCTGTCCTTCGTTACTGAAAGGCCACACTGTTATCAAACCTGTAGGTCGTTTGCTCCTGCAATTCAATCCAATGTCAACTTTTTGCTCGTTTTCAGGTAGAGATCTCGACCTTGATCCTATCGATCGACGATAACTCCTGCAGAAGCGGCGCCCTCTCGCATTCTCAGAGGAATCACTGATATGCGCCTATGCACAATCTGCGGCGCGGACGAGACAAGACAATACCCTGCCAATGCTCCAAGAAGCAATCTCCTGTGCTACTCCTGCCTAGAACTCAAGAATCTTGAAGCCCAGATTGCCGACATCGACCTTTTCAAGTCCAACCACACAGATGACTACTTCACCCACCGATTCCCTCCAGAAATCGCTTCCCACATCTTCGAGCTTGCCATCTCGAGCCCAGAAACTCCTGAGCACAAGCATCTCAGCCCTCTGACTCTCGGTGTTGTATCGAGAAGGTGGCACGAGATCGCGTGGTCGACGCCGGGGTTGTGGACGCAGGTCTCCGTCAACCTCAAGGCGTTCTTTGACCGCCCAAAGGAGCTTCTCCTGCGGTGGATTGAACGAACCGGCCAACTTCCCCTCTCGATTCACATATTCTACGATTACGATGTGTCGGCCCAACACGCCGCAAGCTTCACGGATGTGTTCGGGATCATCAATGAGCACGCTTCGCGCTGGGAGACGTTGAGCCTCAGGATGCCGTTCTCGCTGTACCCTCGTCTCCGTTCCAAGCGCGACAAAGTACCGCTCCTCAAACACATCACCATTCAGCCGCCCCGTTTCATCGAGGACTATGTGTTCGACTACAAAGGGGAAATCCTTGATGTCTGCGCCGTTCCTCCTCTTCCTCAGACCGTCATGATCAGAGAATCTCCATTCACTTCAATCCGTATTGATTGGTCCAACGTCACGACGCTGTATTTCAGCCAAATTTCCGTCAGTGATTGTCTGCGCCTCTTCCAGCAGGCTCCGCAGATATCTCAATGCTCGATCGACATTACCCACAGCGACTCGCATGTCCGCTGTCCTGCTTTGAACCCTATCACCCTCCCTCACCTAACGAAATTGCATATTCACTTTATCACCAGTGACGTGACAGTGGCGGGTACTTTCCTCGACAGCATCACCCTTCCAGCACTGACGCACCTCGAATACAACGAGGCAGTTGATTATATAGCTCTGGCTGCGCTGCTCGCTCGCTCATCGTGCCCTCTCATCCACCTCAACATCGGGTATTTCAAGGACCGTATGCCGTCGACTCAAAGCCTCCTTCAGGTATTGCACACCAGTCTGAGCCTCGAAGACCTTCACATCAAGATGACGCAGCTGCCAAAGGACTTTTTCGATTCTCTTTCAGTTCCTCCGGGTAACAACCTCTCCGACCGAGCTATATTACTCCCTCGGCTGCAAAGTTTTTCTTATCGTGGCAAGTTAACATTCGATTGGATCTCATTCATCAACTGCCTCGACTCGAGACTGTTCATCCAAGGAGAGGGTGGCGGGCCTTTGCTTCACTCGATCGACCTGACGTTCTATACCATTCGGCGGCACTCGAATCCGCTATTGTACTACATCGATGAGGGAGCAGCAGCTCGCATTCGCCGCTTTCAAGTTGAGCGCGGGATAGAGGTGCGAATCATGAATGGCTTGGAGGATATGCTGCAGTATTCGATAGAGGCGAGTACTCGTTGATTATGGTCCATTGTAGACACTTGATACGCACACACTATGGCGTACGTCCAACTCGAGTTGTCTAGTAGATAAAACATTAATCTATTTCGTGACTAGTATTAGATTATGGTGTACGAGCTACGAAAGCGAACAAAATCGGGCTCGAATCCTTTCGCTGGTATCGCCGGCTACCCGACCTGCCCCAACCCCTGCTTGTACACACTCTCCCCAGGGTCCGCAGCCAAGGCTAGCTTCTCGTTCATGAGCACCCGCTTCATCGCATATCTTCTCGTTGCCAGATCTCCGCTTGAGTTCTGTCACCGAAACACCCACCGGGGCGACACCTATCCACAACCTCAGACGCCTGTCATCCACTCCATTCGACGTTGGTGCTGCCGTTGTTGGCGCGGAAGAGTCGTTTGTCTTGCCCTTCGGGTCTCCAGTAGTGTTCGAACCGGCACCGTCCTTTGGAGGCTTGGGCTCCGCCTCAACGCTTGCAGCGATCTACTCCGCGATGTTGAGTGTCTTCTCAGCGTCCTCCGCTGGCGTGTGCATGTCCTTGCTCGTCGATGAGCGAGAGGATGAGCCCCGAGGTTGTTGAGCTCGGTAGTTCAAGTTCGCTGATGGGTACTAAGGACGGTTCATGTAGTCAGATACAAGCGAACAAGGACGAAAAGAGATGGGAGGAACGTACGTACTTCGTAACCAAATTCACAATCAGTAAACACTCCGCCAACACCACCCAACCGTCTTCAACGTCTTGCCCAATGCTTCGTACTCCTTCGCGACCTCCATCCCTGGCTACCGGAACACCAACTTCCTTGGTCCTCGATCGACCTGACGACGCCGACACGGGGCCACCCGCCGAGCGGAGACGTTGACTCAGCAGTCCAGCCGTCATTCGCGTTCGTCGTTGATATTGGCCATCCGAAGAGGTTGGATTTGTAACTGAGATTCATTTTGTGGATAGGTAGGCAGGAGTTTGGTGGTACTTCAATGCTTGTTCCTTCTGAGCGAGCTCATGGTCCAGGGCGAAGGAGGCTGCTTGATGGGTGATCCGGACGCTGTAGGCGGGGAAGATGTTATAGGCGGAGAAGACGCTGTAGGGGGAAAAGTGGCCGTAGATTCGTGTGTGGGCGAAGGCTTGGGCAAGGGTCTGATGAAAAGGGCAAAAAAGTAAATATATGCACTCATATACCGGTGGCCAGAGCTTACCCGTTCGGCTTCGTTGGATCCACTTTGAGTGATAGCAACCTATGAACGAACGATACGATAGTCAGTCAAACTGCGCAGCAAATCTGAAGAACGATGTTACCCGCACGAGCTCGCGTGGCATGGCCGGCTTCATCTTCTACGCCCTCATATAAACTTCGTGCAGACGGAGACGCATAGCGGAACTGTGGATAACACTGGATCAGCACGGAGAAGCCAGATCGACAGAAAGGAGGGAAAACGTACATAGAACCTTCTTGACCTCTCTATCTACCAACGACACACTACTGACTGGAACCCACTCCGAAAATGACCTTCGTGTCGGTAACCTTTATCTGCAGCCACGCCACACCCCCCAGCACCTCCCAGCCTTCTCAACCTCCTCAAGAGCACCACCGTGCATGATATCATTCACCTTCTTCATCCGCGACCGGGAGTTGTCGTTGGAGTTGTCCCCGCTGCACGTGTGGTAGATGACGCCGATGATTTTTGGTTGGACGACGAGATCTTTCTTGACGTTCGCCGGAGCGATTTTCTTGAGGGTAGACGTTAAAGATGGGGCGGTCGAGGCTTTTGAGGTGCAAGCATTCGTCTTCGGCATTAGAAGGTGGATTCCATGAACGTCCGCGATGAGGCGCACAGTGGAACTGTTTGAATCGCACCCAGTCAGCACAGACGCGAAAAAATCGAGAACGAACAGAAAACCATACGTGGCTCCTCCCTCCGAACCTCTATCGACGAACGCAAACCTTCGTTCGCTGAAACCATCCTCTCCGGGCCTTTCCACTCCTAGCCTCGGTTCAAAGGGCTGCTAACCAGAAAACCCGGCGCAGAAATGAGATTTAAGTACGTGGTCTGGATCTACAGCGCCGCCGCACCTCCCAACCTGCCAGCCCATACTCGACGACCCAGACTTCCCGAATGCTTCCACGACCCCATCCTTGACCATATCGTGTAGCTTCTGTATGCGCATTGGATAACCGATACCGTCGTCGTAGATATAGTAGACGACGCCGACGGTGAATGTTTGGACGATGAGGGCTTTCTTGACGCTCGCCAGGCGAGTTCTCCAGAGTTGAGCAACGTTGAGGGTGGCGCAGTCGGAGCTGCCAACCTTCAAGCTGCATCTTCTGCATTATAGGCTAGATTCCGTGCTCGTCCGCGATCAACGCCCACAGCGGGTCTGTTCCGATCCCATGCAGTCAGCAACGACAAGAGAAGACTGAGAACGAATGGAAGAAACGTACGTAGCTCCTCCTCCCGAACCTCTCTATCGACCAACGCCACGGCCTCACTCGAGTGGACCCCCTTCTCCGGCTTCTTTGCCTCGGCTCGCCACGCTGCGGACAAGGAATTGCAGCCTGAAGACACCTGGGGTGGTGTCCCATCTCCCAGCCGCATTCCGAAGATTCAAACTTCCCCGATGCTTGCACAGCCGCGGTATCGTGTAGATCGAGTAGCTTGTTGATGCTGGGTGGATGAATGGCACTGTATGCGGTCTACGTATAGTAGGAGATAAGGCGACGATGACTGCTTGGACGATGGGAACTTTCTCGACGTCGGTCAGGGCTAGCTTCTTGAGGGTCGACATTAGAGTCGGCGAAACCGGCGCTGGTGAACCGGCTGGCTGGAGGAGCGAAGAGACACCCAGCAACGCGCATTGACGGCTGCCCAATCTTGGTTCATCGTCCAGCAGGAAGCCCGAGCGTCGAGGACCGTGGCCAAAAGGGCGACTTGCTGGTGCCCGTTATCCGTCGCTAGCCGATGGAGCTTTTGTGCGGCGCCAGACCCACAGGCGGCGTATGGATGGCGAGTGGTGGCCAGTGTTGTTGGTGTCTGGGGTAATAGCCGGGACGCGGGTAAGGTAGGCGAGGTGGGCGAAGTAATGGACGTGGGGCGGGTCGGAGGGAAGGTGCAGTTGGCCAAATGCTTTTGGAGGGTTTCGGGCTAAGCACAGGTCATCACCATGCAGTCTAAGGGAGAGTCTAGGAGAAAGGTGCGTAGGTTAGGTCTTGTAGACGCAGAGGGGCGGCTACCGTAAGACGAACAGACGTACCGCTTTCGTGGCCGCCCCTTCCACTTTGCTCTCCACGCCTCGTTTGTTCATCACAATCCGAATTCTTACTCCCACTAGATTTATTCAAGTAGAACATCCTGTGACTAAACGTAGAGCAGGTAGTGTCCAGCATTTTAGCGGAATGGGTTGCGTCTAGAGAAGGGTGTGTGTGCGGTGTTTGCGAGTCGGAGGATGCGCCAGGATCGGAGTTTGCATTGAAAGGAGGAGTATTGAGGGCGGTAGGCGTGTAATTTCTAGACAGCTTTCCCGTCGTGGATTGTCGTGTGCGGATGGGTTCTCGTCGAAGGAGCAAGTCAAGGGTCACGCTCTGTGACCAGTTGGCACTGACACGATTAGATTACACTGCGGACATTGGCGCATAAAGTCGATGGCATTTATTTAGAATTTATCCAGACTTTATGGAAAAATGACTTCTACATAGATTCTGTGACTTTATTCGCCGGCGGTTCCATGATTTCGGGTCGACGAATCTGAAAGGAGATTCCTGAGTGCAACATGAGGCCTCGACGAGATTTCGTCCCGACCAACATATCACACCCAAAACTCACTTTCAAGCTCTGAATCTTTGGACAGCAACAGTATGTTAATTCACTAGCCAGGTGGACAAATTGTCTTTCAACAGAGAGCCATCTGACGCGCAGAATTGGACTGTTTTACCCTCAAGTGATCAAGATCTCGAAAAGAGCCTCGAGGCCCTTGGCACCGACTTTATGCAAACCTTAGGCGGAATTTATGTAGAATTTACTCGTAAAAGAAGTCCTCAATAAAATCCGCATAAAGTCATTGACTTTATGCGCCATTGCCCGCAGTGTTAGATCTGCGTAAACGGTTCGGGCACGTCCTCCCTTGATCCCTCGATTCCACTGCCAGTCCTTCTTGAGGAAAAGACCGACGTGACCACATTGCTCTTGCAGAAGTTGAAACAAAGTGAAAAAGGTCAAATATCATTCAATCGGCGTGAAACAAGACGAACAGGACCCTAAGTCACCTCGATCCTCAAAATAAGGGCACCTCAATCGAATCACAGATTCTAATGTCCACCCCACTCTCCTTGACCAACTTCAGGCTCGCGATGACTCCTGGATCGACCGGTTCTAACACGTCCCACTCAAGTCTATGGAGGTGGTCTGGGTCGGCAATGTCAAGCCAGAATTTCGAAAGCGGTCGACGATGCCATTCCGAATTCTCGGGCTCTGAGAGGAAGATGGGCGGAATGCCTTCCCATTCAAACGAGGGGGTAGACACGAGGGTCAGCGAGGAGAGATGGGGCAGAAATGAGTTGCGTGAGTTGGCGGGATCGAAGAACGCCGTTGAACTGAGACGGGCGAAGAATGAATCGTCAATGTAGGTACCATCGACCGAAAGTTTGTCGAGCAGAGGGGTGTTTTCCAGGAGCTCGAGGAGTCCGTCAGTTCCGCTTCCTGGATCCTGGATAGTAAGGCTCGTCAACATGCAACCCGACCGAACGACCATGGCTGATACGGCGTCCAACGGCGCCTTTATGTACACTTTTGAGAGAGCGGGAACAGTAAGAGCGTCGATAAGGACTGCAGGGACATCGCTCCATTGAACATGGAGCGACTGAAGGGAGCGGAGCACGAGGGATTGAGGCGGGGCGGTGATGTCCTCAAAGTCGGAGCTGTCGATAGTTTGAATGGTGCACTCGACTAAATTTTCGGCGTATTGGAAGAGCTGGAGGACCTCACGGAGGGGGAGATAGGTGACCGTGATATGCGTAACGGTGTCCCATGCGATCGACACCGAGTCAAAGCGAATGCGATTCAGGCTGACATGTGTTGGCCGAGGTACAGAATTTGTCAACATGAACACCGGTGCGGTGGAGTCGATGGTTGAAATATCGAGCCTGCGTAACAATGGTGCGCCGGACCCATCACCCTGGAGAAGGCCCAGGAAAGAGGAATGAACACGAGCGTAAACGGTCTGCCATTGACTGGAATGCTTGTTGATGGCGGCGAAGATGGGTGTTGCGTCGAAGTTCGCCCATTCTGACTTGTCTACTCTCCACCTGGTCGGCTGGTAGATGTCGAGGGTGAGTGGCAGGCTTCCTGTACGTGCGAGCCACGCGCTGGTGATCTGCGCATAGAGTGGGACGTTCCTTCGGTGAATCTTGATCGACACCCTCGTCCACAACTGCGGTGTGGATCGCGCAATCCTGGCCCAGCGCCGGCATACCTCGCTCAGGGTGAACCCTGTAGGCTTTGTTCGCAATCCGCATAGCGAACGGCGTGCTTTGTACGAGACAGTGGTCGGACCTCCATCTCGCATACAAAAACAGAAGATGCGGGAGAGGATTTCGAGGGGTAGATGATGGACGAGTTCGTCGTGGAACTCGTTCCGCTGGAGCTTGATGTCGCATCGCTCTTGGTAGAGTTGCTTCAATATTGCTCTTGTTTCCAAGATCCTCGTGTCAACTGCGCCGAGTCGGACGCAAGGAGGGCACGGATGATGGCTGGGAGTCCTGCACTCGCGGCCGGAGATGTCCACCTCCTCTACATTTCCAGAGATGCCACACACTTCACAGGGGCGAAATTCGAACGGATCCACGACAGTTCTGGCTTGTTGGGGCATTGGATTCTGAGAATAGGGTAAGACAATATGTTATTAGGACGTTCAGGGAAATCACACCTGCAGGTAATATCGATAGACCGTTCGGTTTGTACCAACGTCGACTCTCGAGTCTCGAGACAGGAGCGTGAAAAATTCCGCGAGTATGTCACAGTCATGTGAGCTTTCCGCAGTCACGCACTGCGCCCGCATTCTTTGCGCGTTGAACGTTCTACGTTCTGGGATATCGAGTGCTAAATAGTCCACAAATACTAGAAAAATGGTCGAAAGATGGATATTCTAATGTCCAGTACCTGCTAATTACTAGCCCCTAAGTATTAAGTTAGACGTCAAAGCACGGAATGCAAAGCTGCCAAGTATGATTGAGCGAGGAATTATGACGACATCGTGCTCCCATCCGTAGCAGAAATCGAATCGACGCTCGGGGAGAATGCAGACTGAGCAATCTATGAACGAAGTTAGGACACTTGTTGGAGAGAATGGTTTGGGGCTCCACGTCTTCAGCATAAGACTTTTGAAGGCGAGGATGTGTAGACAGGGGAGGCACACCTCACCAAGAAGGAGAGAGCGCAGTCTCAGGGCTCTACAAAGGCACGGATTGCAATTCAACGCGCTGAAGGGGTGCATTTATGATGGTACGCATGATGGTATGCATTGCAAGAGTTTGAAGCCTTCAAGGGGAAGGAGAAACAACAACGCTCCTGATTTTGAGAACATGGAGAGGGAGATTTAAGCGTTTACGCGTTACGACCCGCTCCGGTATGAGCGACGCAAGAGTGGACACTCAAGCGCCTGGGCACAGATCTAGAGATACGTAGGTGCATTTTGTTCCTCGGACTAACATCGGCCCCATTGTTTACGAATATTGGCGTAGATTTTTTTTTCGTCGAACTACTCCCACTGCGTCCGTTATGCTCGGAGACTTCTCCTTCTGAGTTCTCCCTAATCCAAATAAAGAATAAATTTCCATTTTGGGTAGATTTGCGGCGAACTCCGAAGTCGGGAGAATCTCACTGCACCGGTACTCGAATCCCTTGAAGATTGTAGCTGCGTAGCATCTTTATGCATTTCCCAGTGCTAAGGTGGGTTTTCAGACTGGAGTCGGAGAAAAGCGCGGCCAAATGCACACGATGCCTCATCAGTCAACGTCCAGTCCATGTTCAATCCCGTTCAAACTCGCATACATCCACACACTTTCCGGCCACAGGAATGTCATGACACGTCTTGCGTTAAACAATTGGTTCGGTGGGTGAGGTATTCGTGCATGGCGTAGTCTTCGACTTGTGAAGTTAACCTAAAGTGAACCCAACTGTCTTCGAATAATTCAATTACTAAAGTAGTTCATTCATGCAAGTCGTACATCGCACGCCCAAAGAGGGACGACGCTGTCGTAGGACCCATTGGTCATGAGAGAAGATGCTGTGGCGCGGTTCAAGATCTGTTCGCGGATGGGTCCTAAACGTTCAAACGTTCGAGAATTAGTAATCATTTATCTTTCAGAAAAGAAAGGAAAGAACATACTTCGTGACCGAGAACTCCTTCGCCAAACACGCCATCAACGCCATTCAACCGCCTTCAACGTCCCGCTCGAGCCTGAACGATCTCTCGCAGCACTTCCAACACCTCCCTCTCCTCTTCGTCCTCGATCAGCCTTCTGACGCCGACACTGAGCCAGGTGTCACGCATACAAGCGAAGACCTTGACTCAACAGTCGCCACAGCCCTCATTCAAGTTCATCGTTGATATTGGAGGTAGAACATGGGGCTGGAATTCGCTTCGCGAATAGTTAGCCAGTGGCTGGATAGCACTTCAACATCCGATGTTCATTCCGTCGGAGAGAGCGCATATACAAGATGTGCTTGATGAGGGTGGATACGGACGCTGTAGACGGAGTCAAGGTCGTCAATTCGTGTGTGGGCGATGACTTGGGCGATATTCTGCGAAAAAGGAAAAAAAAAGTGTGAGTATGTGCACGAACGTAAGAGTGGCGACGGCTTACCTGTTCAATGTCGTTGAATTTATCCCAAGTGACGGCGACCTACAGGCAAATGATACGATAGTCAGTTGAATTGCAGAGGAAGTTCGAAGAACGATGTTACCCCCCTACGAGCTCGCATCGCATGTCGGTCTTCATCTTCTGGATCCTCGTGTAGATTTCGTGCAGATCGACGGCGGAGGCCCAGAACGAAACTGCTCGTAACATCGAATCAACACGGAGGGGACAGGTTGAAAGAGAGGAGGGAAAACGTACGTGGAACCTCCTTCACCTCTTTATCAACCAACACCGCGCTGTCGACCTGTACTCAGTCCGGACCGCGATGTTGGGCGTCTTCTCAGTGTGCTCTGCCGACATATGGATGTTCTTGCTTGTCGATGAGCGAGAGGATGAGGTTGTCGCAGCGCTGAGTAGTTGGAGTGTTGTTCGTAGATAGGCGCTAACGACGGTTCATGTAGTTAGATGCGATTGACCAAAGACAAAAAGAGACTAAAGGAAAGTACTTCATCACGGAAACTTCCATCAGCAAATGCACCGCCAACCGCCCAACCGTCTGCAACGTCTAGACCAAGCCCCAACGTGTCACTCGTACGAGCCTAGACGTTGTCCCAGCAGTCGCGACAGCCGTCATCCATGTCCGTCGTGGGTATTGGCCATCCCATCGACCTGGAAGAGGTTGGAGGTCGTGGCTGAGATTCGCGATAGGCAGCGGCTGGATCGTACCTCAACGTTTAATGACCTTTCCGTTCGAGAGAGCGCATGTGCGGGATGTGCTTGATGGAGGGCAGACAGGCGCAGGAGGCGGAGAAGTGGCCGTAGGTTCGTGTGTGGGCGAAGGCTTGGGCAAGGGTCTGGTGAAAAGGGCAAAAATGTAAATATGTGCACTCCAGTGTCGACGCACTCGTCTAGGCCGTCGATGACGATGAGTGGAGGGAGGGTGAAGTAGCCATCGTAATTAATAGCTTGTAGTAGAGGATCGACAACTAAAGATCGAAGTTGAGTGTCGAGAGAGCGGTGGAAGATGGTGGGATCAGCAATGATGTTCTGGTTTATACACCACTTGAGTTAAGGCGAATACAGGGCGATCTGATAGGAAATGGTAGTGACGAGTCGAGATCGATTATTCCTTGTAGGGACAGTCCTCGAGGAGAAGAAGCTCGCGAGCAAAAGACCACGAGAGTAGAACCACTCGGCGATCGTCTGCAGAATCGCTGATTTGCCCACCCCAGCGGACCCATACAACCAGAAAGCGCGAAGCTCGGCGGGCTCGAGGGTCTCAATCCAAGCAATGAGTTTGTCGAGGACAGCTTGACGCGTAAGGGGGTGGCATCTCGGCCGGTAGGTCGTATCGTTCATCTGAGTTGTGAAATGCGCCTGGAGCAATGCGTTTACGAAGGAGCTTGATACCTAGCACACATTGGAGGGATCGTAAGCGCTGAACGCAATTTTTGACCGCCATCGGAGGCGCACTCACCGCGCCAGGGGTCACTATTGTGATTATGGATGTCACCATTGACTTCAATGAACGAGCAGTCGGTTAAAGCCAAGTTGCGGGAGTGGGCGAACATTGGGGACCACTGGCGAGCACTGAGCGCACAGGGAGCTGGGGGAGAGACTCGGACCAGGACTTTAATGGTCTCGTTTTGAAGCCGGCATGTTTCCTCATTCAGTCTCGAGGCGATAAAGATTGCTATGCGTCTATTTGTGGTGAGGCAGTACCCTTCCAAACTCCGATGCAATGAGCACAGAGAGCGCGCCGGGTCCACCTCATTGATGAAATGAGTTAACTAAACCGTGGCCAGGAACGAAGAAGGCGTGGTAGATATGGCGCCGACGGCCTACTCGCCCAGTGTAGACGACGAGCTGAAATGGGAGAAACGCGGGCGGAGCGCACCTGGCAGCTGCGTTCGCTGACGTAGCACGGTTCAGGACTGAAATACACGAGTACAGAAGTTTATGTCTTACTCGTCGTCGCACGTCGCCGTTCTCTAGACGTACAGCGTGCTTCCGGCAGCCTGTGCTCGAGAAAACAAGATAAGAGAGGCTCTTCCCATTCGACAAAAATAGAAAGTTACTTCGATTGATTTTGCAGACCTCCTTGGACCTTCATACCCAGAATCACCCCCACCTCCACCCCGTGCTCGCATCCGATGCGTCGCTCCTTCGAGCTTTGTCTTTATTCTATCATCTGTACACACGTTCCGCGCAATATTCCGCATACAGCTTCAGTCGCTGACCTTAGGAAAGAGGGTAGGAAGTCGTGCGTGAATGTATGCGACGAAGGTACCCACCCTGGTCTCTCGTTGCCTTCCAGCTCGAGACGCACCTCGCCACGTCGGCCTTGAACCTCGAGAGTCAAGCTTGAGCCTTGAATTGCGAACCTTCGCCTCGAGTCGGTGAGTGTTGAGTGCTGTGTATTTTGCCTTTCTCATTGAGAATCTTGGGCGTGCTCGACGCGAATGATGTCTCTGCCCTCCAGGAGCTAGAAAAAAAATTGACATGTAAGGGATCTACACAGCGTTTACGAAGCCAACACTCACGGTATCCTTTCTAGCTTTCCCGGTCGCCGAATGTACCCCCAGATACCGACTTCCTCTGCCGCCAACTTTGCACAGACACCGTTCTAACGGCAACGTTTCGCGCCATTGATCCCTGGAGCTTGGATATCACGAGCCTGCCGAGGAAGAGACTCCAGGAACTAGGGCTTGGGGTTGATGACGAACAACCGCCCTTGTAGATGTAGATCGTGGCCTTCGAAATGTGGAGGCTGCCAGCGGCGTCGATGAAGATGAGCTACGGGAGCAAGGTAAGCATTCGCGAGTTCGTATAGATGATGCAGATACTTACCGGTACCGGACCCGATTCGCTTCACCTCCCAAAACACCGTCCTCCAAGATCTCCTTGTGCGCACGATCTCGGCTCTGCTGACTCCATTTTCATAGTCGTGCTCGGGTTCCGCTAGCGTTGTGGAAATGAAGGGTAAGTCGAGCTTTTGTTGGAGCTGCCCGCCCCAAGGAAGGGAGACGGCAGCGCTAGATGGCCATTGAATATTGAAGACGCGCGACATGAGGTTGAGCAGCCAGGAACAGTGACGTCGAGGACGTGACGTGGGAGAGCAGGAGGTGAGGGAAGGAACTGACGGCTGCAATGGAAGACGGGGTCATAGAGATGCAGGGAAGGCAGCAGGAGAGATAATCGCAATGGGATTTATGATCGAGGGACACGCAAGTTGAAGGGACACGTTGAGGTGACTAGTGAGTCGATGAGAGTTCTTCTAATCTAATCTAATCTAATCAATCTGGTGCACAGGTTGTTTCCCACGCCCCATGATTTATTCCGAAAACGACTCACCAGCACCTCTTTGCCTCCGTACCTCATCGCGTCTTCCAGCACACTGCGCTCCTTTCGGAGCTCGTTGCGACTTTTTCTGATCCTGCCGTCATCGTGAACCAACTGCCCTGGTCTTCTCAGAGGGTACGTGAGTTTTTCTGGATAATATTCCCCCATGCCCAGTACCTTTTCCCCGATTTGCTCCTTTTATGTTGTTATTCACCTATCGTGTTCATATGCATGACTTTGGAGCAAGTTTCAGAGGGTTCTTCGACCCTCACCTTTGCCTTCGAGCCTACGTCACTGCCATTGTTCTCCTTGCTCCGTCCTGACTTTGCGTTCCTCTCCCACAGGTTCTCGCTCTCTCCGACAAATCGAATCTTAACACTGGGTAATTCTGCTTCTCCGTCAACGCCTCTTCTCCCATTTTCCTTTGGTTCTCCCGGTCAGTCGTCCCATTCGAACCTCCTTCCACGCTGTCATCGTTCTTATTTCAGCATTTAGATCGTACTTTGCAACGTGCAAGTCCAGCACATCGATGACTTGGAACAGCAAAGACCTCGTTCAGGCGTTTGTAGTCGCTAGCGACGTCCGCATTGCTATTCGATCGCAAGAGACGTAGAAGACCGGCCTCACACGCTTTCGCTTTTCGAATGACCATTTCTTCATGCCGTGCATTTTGGGCCTTGGATCTACTACTCGTCTTACTCCAGGCTAATATCTCCGTTTGCAATCTAGATTCGTCCACGTTGCGCGTTGGCCCAGTCCATCCCAAAAACGACACTCCGTGCCTATACCAAGCGTGCTTCGGGTCCCACCCACTTCCTCCTCGTCTTCGAGCCGACTTCATGAAGAGCGGAGCCGGAGACTCGCGTGGTTATTCGTACGAGTGTCTAGCCTGAGATGTGTTCTAGGACTCTTCGACTCCCAAATGAACGTGCGTTATTCTCGTGTAATTCTCTCAACAACGCTCAGCGACCTCTGGGCGTGATTCAGGTCTCAAAAATCCTGATCCCTTTTGGAACTTGGCGATATGAGTCCTGGAAAACATCGCGTACGCGATTGCTCGTCGTTCCTAGAACGCCTTCGTCCGGGGAGATATCGGGCGCGACTGATGGCCATGCGCGATGCGCAGCGGAGTATTTCCCAGCTTCGAATACTAATTTACGCTAAGAAATCAATATGTGTGCAAGCTGCACGGCTTAAAAACGTCCTACAATTTGTGCTCGATCTCGCATTATCTTCGTCCACCAGGGTATTATAATTTATTGGAACGAGAAATTCGAAGCTCCGTCTGATATCCCAAAAGTCGTGTAGAAATAGTCGCCGGCTTGCTGAATAAGGTATAGAGAGCAAGTCAGAAGGACGGAAGCCCATGATCGTAAATTCTGAGCGCACACAGTAGAAAATATGCCAAAGTGGTTCGAACTTGACTGAGATGAGAAGGACCAGTGGAAGCCGGGCCGGCGCCAGGTTCCCCACTTGGAACTTGAGCTTGAACTGCTCACACGTTGCTCTCGCGTTTCATATTCCAGCAACCGTGTAGGATCGTCGTTATCCAATCGCATAGTTCAAGACTTTGTATCCCTCAACGACGCTTTTCGTGCCTCGAAGACAGGTTTCGACCAGACGTTGACGAAACTCAATCGTAAGCCAGTTCTCCTTCGATCTACATAACCTCGTTCTTCTGCTATCTGACTGTTTTTAACCTTTAGAAGTATATCAAATCCCGTACCGCAAGTGCTAATGGAACATCACCAGACGGCTCTGGCACCGTGCAAACTTGCTGCAGGAAAACCTTGTCCGCAATGCACAGACCTCCAGCGATTTCGTAGCAAACAGGGAAGAAATCCAAATCCTCCCCCGTCTGGAGAAGAAAGACTCCGCGCAATATACTCAGCCATCAACTACTCTCACGATCCTTTCATCCACAAACTTCCCCTCGAAATCGCTTCTGAGATCTTCACGCACTGCCTCGTCTATCTCCACTCCAAACCAGACTCATCTGTGGAGAGGGCTGCACCGCTGGTTCTCGGTGCGGTCTGTAGAACGTGGCGCCAGATCGCTTGGTCGACACCCAAGCTATGGAATTCCATGTTCTTCGAGGTGTCCAGTGATCGGTACGACAATGATGGGTTGCGCATGGAGTTGGTTCGAGACTGGCTAGCGCGATCCGGTTGTCATCCACTCTATATCACTATCCGAGTGCATAGGGAAGCGACAGTCGCCTCACTTGCGCCACTCTTTCCTCTTGTTGATCTGCTCGACTCGTACGCGAGCAGGTGGCAAGTGTTGAGCCTACATGCACCGTCCGCACTTCTCTCTCGGTTCAACTCCCCTTTGTCGATACCTCAAGGTGCTGGGCTTACGGAATTGTCGATCAAACCATCAAATTATCCGGTAGTGCACTCTATCGACCTCATGTCTATAACGGCCACCCTCTCAAAGTTGACAATAGCACTTATCCCCCCACTCCTCATCCACATCCACTTCGACGCCTCACGCACATATCTGCTACTAATATATACTCTAGTGGATGCATGGAGCTACTCCGCCTTGCACCGCAGCTCGAGGAATGCACCTTCAACATGATGGAAACTACAGAGCCGGGTGATCCCGATCCGCCCACCAACAATATTGCCATGCCCAATCTTCGGGCGCTGTTCTTCGGAGCCAACTGCGAAGATCGGTTGGATGTATTTTTGGTCAAGCTCTACCTACCTGTCCTGGAAGAACTTCACATTGACTCCATCACCAATCTTGAACCGCCCATCGACCTAGTGTCCCACTTTGCGAGGTGGCGTTGTCCGCTCAGGAGACTGCTGCTGAGCGACCACGAAACACAACAGATGGTCATGAAGAGGGTGCTCTTGCAAGTACCGACGCTCGAATACCTGCACCTGTCTTCATCGGAGAACAATCCTGCCGCGTGCGATGTCCTCTATGCACTTGCTGACCGCCTTGGTTCAGCCGACGGCACTGTGTCATTCCTTCCTCGCCTCAAGACGTTCGAATCCTTCAATACCCCCCCTACCTTCTCGTGGGATGTGATTCCAAGGATCTTCAGTGTATCTTTTGACGGTGTGGATCCGATTTCCCCAGCCAGCCTTCCACCACGACCGGTTCTACAGCGTGTCATCATTCACGTTAATCCGGAACCGGATACAAACGAAGTGGATCAGGAAACGATGCGGAGGTACCTTTATCTGAAAAGGATTGGAATCGAGCTGGACATTGACCCTCCTCTTTTGTCCTCTCATCACAGTAGTGTTTAACGGTCACTCATTTATGTAGGTATTCGTCGGGCTGCCGGGTGAACATAGACTATTTCGTCTGGGTACTCAGCAGGCGTTCGGTCACGAAGAAATCTTTTTTCCCGTCAGTTCTCATCCCTTCTGGTCATTCGGGAAATTTTGCTGTCTACCCGCTTCAGAGAGCGGTTCTTTACCTCCTCCAAGCACATTCTCGCCAAAGAATACTTTCGCCACCAAAATAATAAGATAACTTAATTTCTCTAGGTCATCAAATCTGACGTATTTTCTCCGTCCTTCGGACCAAAGCCAATTTCCCCGCTTAACTGACTACTAAGGGCTTCGTCGCTACGATCTCTTATGAGCGACTCGAATCACACCTAGAGTGTGGTTGAGAAGACTATACGAAAATAACATTGCATTTGGGCAAGCTTTGAACACCTTTTCCCCTGAGATACAGGTACGGAGAACGCTCCAATGTCGCCTCGTCATGCCCTAAGCTTAAGCAGCTCAAGGAAATGCGGTGCTGGATGTAATCATTCTTGCACCTGGGGAAGGTCTTCGATCACGTCACAGGGTGGTGGCGGTTATTCTGGGTGTGTTACGCGCTTGAGAGGCGGTGCGAGAGCTGAACATTGGGTGTTGAAGCGAAGAGCACCGTAGCTAATGCTGGATTTAAAATAGTTCGAGCTTCGTAGCCGCTCGATGTTTCTATGGGGGTGGACACTGGGCAGAGTGAAGGAACAATGAGTGGTAGAAGGTCATTCGCTACGCAAGAAACCAATTTAGATGTAATTGCGAGAGACGGAGACACGAAGGAAGTCTGCTTACCCGAATCCTTCTCGTCTTCTTCGAATGGATCATGTATGTCCCATGAACTTTGTCCTCGAAGCCGTCATTCACCACACAGTGCCCTATACATTGACAATGACGCCCCAAGCGGCGAGCAGCGGACCCCGCAGCTGGTCCTGCTGAAGAGCACCGCAATCCTGGGTTCGGAGTGACTCCGAGTCCAGATATCTTTTGTTGTGAGATTCATGACGAAGCTCGTGACTAAAACGACCAGGTCAGCGCAGACTTCCAGACGCATATTATGGAAGAAGGATGACGTCCCTGAGAGAATTGACAATTATGCTCGACTACCGAGCGAGCGACGTACATAGGTCGATCGAGCACGGTGCGGACGTTGAGTTGGTCGTTTATCCTGCGTTGAGGGTGGGCAACACGAGGGTGGGATGGTAAAACCTAATCAGACCCAGGAGGATGGATGACGACAATAAGTAACTTGACGCACTGTCGGCAGGTAGCAGCGCGGACCCGTGGCAGACAAGAAAATTTTCGCGGCTGAGAACTGAAAGAGATGCGAGTACAAGGGTTCTGACTCGAAGCTAGGGAAGAGCTTTTGATTCACTGTGGATGCACTCTACGATAAAGGAAGGGGCACGAACCTAATTCGAGTCTGGCAGCCTCGCAAACGTTCAATCCATGACTCGAATCTGCGGGAGAAGGTCACAATTCAGTAAGGGTGCACTGCAGGCCCTGGGATGATTCTGCCTAGGAGGATTCAAACCTAATTCCACGCAGCGGGCAGTGATAGCGAATGCTGATATCCACTGTGGGTACGACTGTGCATCAAACAGGAATATGCATCGTAAGAATCTCGGGCCAAGATGTATAGATGGCCCACAATCTGAGTTATGTAGTGTCATTCGGGGAATCGGTGATGAGGAGTGGCCGCTGCTCTAACGGCGGTCTAAGATCAACGGCGAACTCAATAAACTTTCAATGAGCTACGGTTGGAGTTCCAAGATCCAACCGAAGTGGTGTGAGGCCATCGAGGGTCCATAAATGCACATTCAGAGACGCGAGGCGGACTCCACGTCACGGAGCAGTTCTTGGATCAGAGAAAAGGTGTGAACACACTTTCAAACATTCGCAAAGAAGCTATCGGACCAACGTCCAACGCGTCCATCTTTAAACATCTCCCGTAACGTGTACCTCAGCACACTTCTCGAACAGGACTTTCTTCTCGGAGCAACGAGATGTATTGTTCGACAGGAGCTTGGGGTACGATACATAGAACGGCTGGAGTGGTGTACAGTTCGTTAATCTTCCGTCCTATCAATCTGAGGGGTGAGTCTTCATTAGCTTTTGACAACGAAAAGTGCTATGAATATATACGAACCCTGTCCGCAAAAGAAGGGAGTGTAAGAACTCAAATGTTCAGGCTGTTCCCTGAGCAAAAGCCTAGACAATTCGTCAGCTCCCGGTCCCCATCACGTCTCATTGAAGCCAACGCACCTAGCTCCTCACAGAGGCTTCGTCTCGTGCACGCAGGTAGCATGCTAGTCCTGTTCTCGATGTTCTCCCTAGTTCCTCAAACACTCAAAGAGCAGTAGCGTTGTTGTCTGCCCTCCTGGCGGCACACGCAGCCGATCCGAGGCCAATAGTTGAGCGTACGTAAAAAAAGCGCTGTCGAAGCCGCATTGGTGCTTTGAAAGCAATGGGGTATCGTTATGAAGGGACTCGAAGCTTTTCTGGACGTGGGCAAGGACTGGGGTAGCGAGGTAGTCCGTGCGACCCTAGCGGCGACGCAAAAAGGGCGACCATGGTGGAGAAGATGTAGAAGAGTTCGAGAGGCGCTACATCTCAGGTGGTCTGGTCGCTGTCGTCCCGTTTGTCGTGAGGAACGGAAGGCGTGGTAGTCGAACAGGGCGGAGTTCAAAAGTGAACATCTAATCTCGGACTTATCTTATCTACTAAGCGTGGACCCACAATGGACAAGAACGATTCTATTTATTACTGCTGGTAACATTTATTATTTGGTGGCACTGAATTCGCATTCACCCACCGATATTCTTCAGGATTTTCCCAGATTTTCCCGCGTTAGTACATTCGGCATTGCAGCATCTTGATTCGGCCCTCGCGTGTCAACTTTTCTGGTCGATGATAGAGTGACCTGGAACACTCTTGCTTCGGTTCTACTTATTCTTAGAAGAACCTGAATGCGACCGCTCCTGGGCCGATGACGAAAGAGGGTGCCCCCTCGACCCGCCGCTGGCTTCTTTCCAAGGGAAACTCCGCAAGCGTGCTACTTTAGTGGCTTTAAATCTTTCCACGCTATTGAACTTACCCGTTCTTCTTGTAATCTTGTTGGACCAGGATGGGATGGCGAAATAATCTGGATACCCTTTCCAATATTCCAGGAGACGTTGAAGAGCCCAAAGGCGCGTGAACCAAGCTGGCTATTTTCCATCTTTTTACGGCATTACACTATAGCATCACGCTTCTCACCGAATTCAAAATAGACGCTTTCATGAACATTCGCCGAGCCGTATACCAGGTGGTAGGCATCTTTCTCCTTTACGCCTTCTCACCGTGCAACTTCGCCGCTATCGCACCGCCGAATTTCAAAATGGACAAATCCGTCTTTGAGACGAACTCGCATGACCGGTTTCTTGTCGCTTCGTTGTCTAAAATCCGAGTCCTCGAAACACAGAGTACCTAAAATTTAGCAGTGGCCTCCCCAAGCAAATTTCGTTCCTGAAACTTGGTAATGTCAAGCTTTGATAATATTAGAGGATCCCACAGTTGAGGACGTCTGGACTGGTTTCTCCGCGTTGAGAGCCTGGACATCCTTTCGTTCCACGCTCTTCGAAAGAAGCCGTTCAACAAGGCTTTGACATTTGGAGGAAAGGACACTGCGCCATGCTCCATCCGATAATTCCGGGATCAATGTTAACGACATCTAAGTTGTTCTTCTTTCGGTCGAAGCACATGGCGCCAGTAGGATAGTTATAGATAGCAGACGATCCGGTTGAATCTACGGTGATATTCGACAGGGCCTCCTGTTGTCTATTGCCATCTACTTATGCGGCGGCTGGAGAAATGTGAAGCATATCGAAATGGCAAGGCGCGTTTTTGATTGTACAAAGAGTACTTGGGTCGGAGTAGCGCACCGTTGGCGCTGGGCAGGGGCAAGTAGCAGTGTTGTGCGATGTAGGTGGCTCGTGCAAGCGTGGCCCATTGGGAAGACGCCCCAGCGCAACAAAATCTATTTATTTCACTACACCGGTTCGGCACGGGGATTGAGTAGAAAATTATTGTCCGGTATACGGTCGCCTTACGTTCGAATGCGACTAAAGTTTCGAGACCCGCAGAAAACGTCGACGCGAACCCCGTCAATGTCGACTGGCGAACATGTTTTGTGCCCGTGTGGGCCCGAGTTTTCCTGGTTCTACGGGATGCCTTGGGCGGCAAGCAATACGAGCGGACTGCCCTCCAGAATCGAAAGCCTCAGTGGGATGCTACACTGGGTGCACGGCACCGTATTTGCAAGCCCAGAACGGGTGAATTTTGGATAAAAGTATGTTGTCGTGTTCACTGAACAATTAGTCTCTTTGTGTTTTCAAATTAGGGTAAAATCACAAAAGGGCTCATTTTTAGTGATAACAAACAGTTCGCAAAAAGAGATAAAAGTAGGGTAAGTCAAAGGGGCCAAAGGTCACCGTGCTTGCAGATCGTGCGCGGGTTCGCAAATGGTCTAAACGTATGGTGGCCCTAATTTCATTAGATTTGTTTGCTTACTTCGGCTAAAATTTGTATTGAGCTTTTTACTGTACTTGTAGCGTCTTTGAGCTTGCAAGTATGGTGCTGTGCACCCAGTGCTAGAAATTTCACGATGCAGTTGGGAGTCCATGAGACAAGCCTCGTCGAGGCTATAAAAACAAAAGAGAAGAGGAAGGAAATGCAATGAAAGCAACCCCTGCAGTCAAGAGCTACAGTTGTCTTTGCTCTCAGGCTCCTCAGTCCTGTTGAAACCTTCAGCACAACTTCCAACAATGAAATTCACCAACACTCTGCTCGCCGTCATTGTCGAATCCCCACCAGCAATGTGACTCTTTCCTATATATACGAGAGGGTTGCGTCTCCTTCTCGAGGCTTCCTCGTGCCCAACTTCCACAATCCTACAGGATAGCACAGTCCAAAGGTGTGCACACCGATTTCTCTGAGACGGACTTTCTTTTGGTCCACATTCTGTAGAAGGAGCCATTGGCGCAGGCGTTTACATTTGGAGGAGAGGACCCTCCGTCATGATCTATCCGATAAATGTTAGCATCCTGTAAGTCGTTCTTCTTCCCGTCCAGACACATGGTTCAAATAGAATAATTATAGATGATGGAGAACCCAGTTACACCCACGACGGTATTGAACTGGCAGGGTTTCTTCCTGTTATCTGCAGCAACATGTCTATGCTGCGACTTGAGAAACATGGCGCATATTGACAGGGAAAGGTGCATTTTTGATTACACAAAGAGGACTTGGGTACGCTGTCACATCCCATTCCTGAACCCATTGTTCCATTGTCCCATTGTTCATTGTTCTGGTTCATCAATGGGCTTTCCCTTCATTGTTCTATTCATTATTGTCCTTATTGTTCTCTGTCATTGTTCTGCTGGCATTCATTACATAACCTAGATCTTCTCCATTGTTCTCAATAGTATAAGTAGCTAGGTAGTGTACTGGATTCCCCAGCTTGAATCTCAACCTTGACAACCCCTCTGCTCTGTTGTTCATCCTCTGTCTCCTGGGCCTTGGCCAGGATGACTTCTTCTTGTCCCTTTGTCAAGACCAAGGCAGTTCCTGTAAATTGGGGACAACCAGATGATGTGTAGGGGCACAGCACAAGAGCATGCTGAGGCCAAGTCCCCCCCTCTGTTCAGGTCATTACATACGCTGGAGTAGTGAACCATGGACAGGACAAGTAGGACAGTTGTATGGTAGAGTGCAGGTGCGGCCCATTGGGGAAGGCGCCTAAGTGCCACATATCTATTTATATCATCACCTGGTCTCGGCATGGGGTCGAGTAAAAAAAAGTAGTGTCTAGTATACGGTTGTCTGACATTCGAATGAGACTAAACCTTTGAGGCCCGCAGGAAACATTGAAGCGAGGCCAGTCAGTGTCGGCTAGTGAGCGAGCGCCCTGTCCACGTAAGCCTGAACTTTCCTGGTTTTACGGGATGCCTTGGGCGGCAAGCATTGTGAGCGGACCGCCCTCGGAGATCGAAGAGTTAAGTTGGATGTTAACACTTCTACGATCCAGTTCAGACCTCATGTGACAAGCGTCGTCGAGGCTATAAAAACGATGAATGAAAGACACATAACGCATCGAAAAGCATTCCTGTAGTGAACAGTAAAGTCGTCTTCGCTTTCCTCTCAAAATTTGTTCACGAAACCCACTGTGTTGCAGGCTCTTTCAACCTCCGTTATCCAATGCCTACCACAACCCACAACAATGAAGTTCATCAATACTTTGCTTGCCGTCGTCGTCGCTGCCGTCTCCTCCCAGTCGGTCAACGCCTTTGACTGGGGTACTATGTGCAGTGACGCCAATTTCGTCGGTTCCTGCACTACCTACCAGGCTGATCCTAACCAGTGTGGTACGTCGACGTCCTTGTCCCATAATTCTGTTCCTCTGTTGTCGTGAATTAAATCCGGTGCTGACATCCTCTCTCCCAATTTTACAGTCAGCTTCACGGGCAGCAACACCTTCTGGAACGACATAGTCAGTTCCATCTCCATCGTTGGAGGTGCCCAGTGCATGTTCTCTGTGTATGCCTCTCCCTAGACTTGATTTCCTATCGCGTTGTCTAACATCGTTCCGACGATAGCAATGCTGGGTGCTCTGGAACTACTGACACCTTCCAGGCCGGGAGGCACAACACCGTCCCCCACAACGATCAGTACAGCTCTTTCCGTTGCATTTTCGTCGCCTAAACGGAAAGAATATGCGCAGGTGGGAAGAGGATCGTGGATTAGAAGTTGCAGAGTTAAACCAGATGCCTCATTCTACCACAGTCATGGTCATCACAGTTACTTCCCATTGAATTGAGACTCCAAATTGTATAATTGAATCCATGCACTTTGTACATATACTCTGTTCTGTGATTGTTACAATTAGCGATCTCCATTCCAGCCTGAGAGTTGGACATTAGGCATGAGCCTATCCGAAATTCCAAGGTGCTACCATTTCGAAGTGGATCCCGAGCAGCGTTGTATGGGACTCATTGAAAAGCTAAAATGGAAAAGGACATGGAATCAATAATGAGAACATAAGGAATATCGGTGGTAGTGCTACTGCTCAATATCACATAGAAGAACTGCGGATGAACCACAATAGAAGCCGCCACGACCTACCAAGCAAACTTGAAAGAGTGGAATTCTGCCGTAAGCACACGAGAAGACTTTACATGGGCAAGATACACAGGAAGTCCTAGATCATCAATCTACGTTGTATGACTCTGTAGCTGAGATTCGTCGGGGATTTCATACTTTCCAGGTCTACTATGGAAATAGCTCATGAGGCCGGGAACACTTACGAGAGCTAAAATCACAGCAATTTCTCGATACAGTCGAAGCAGAGCCGATGATTCAGGAAAAATGGGTGAGCATGAAACGCGAAGTTGTACGAGCGTACGAACGTAGGAATATTAATCAGAGGAGTTGACTGTCCTCATCTTATCTCGGGGTCTCGGAGATTTACAGTCCCGGAGCCGAGGACCGACGTAAGCCATCAACATACATAACCTTCACTCTGGGAGCTCGCCCCAACGGCCCTTCGTGCTGAACTTGAGCTTTTCTCTCGGCGTCTTTGCTGCGGCGTTTGGTTTTCTCTAAGCTGGTACAGATATATGTGAGCGTTCATCCTTGCTTTAACATCGCCTTCTAACCACCATCTGCTTACTATGGAACAGGAGTTGACACCGTCTTGCATTCGCGGGTATGACCTGGCCCGGGACCCCTCGTGAATTGTCTACGAGCTCGATGGGAGCTAAGCCCAAGAACACAGAGAGAGAGCAGACACCGAGGAAGCCGTTCGAGATATTTCTGCCAGCCTCACCGGCGTGGAGAGCGAAGATACCCCGTTATAACCTTGAGAGATGACGAATGCCACCCAACGTATCGGACTCGGCAAGACTACCAGCTGCAGCGAGAGTAGAAGAATCAAGCAGCACGCATTCGGAAACCGGCCTCGAGGTCACCCTCGATGCTGGCACACCCCAATCCCAGTGCTATATATTCTCATCTCAGACCCTCTCCATGCATCACGCAGGACGCCTGCGAGCGACAGTCAACCGCGCGTTTACGCTTGGACTCGAAGAAGACTTCGCTCCGTGGATTAGTGGAGGACGACACGCTCCACCCTTGTGGTGACTATAATCCCTCGCTGGCATGGGCAGTGACGTGCATATTCGCCTCCCGTTGCCCAGATTCCAGAGTCGTGCACGCCTCGTCGACTTGCTAGCTCCTAGGCTTTCTCCATTCTCTCCGAGTGCTACTTCGATCCCCAGGTGAATATATGCGCATACAAGTACGCACAATACTTCCTTTCTGCCCCTCGCTTCGTGCTAACTGCAATATCCACAGGATGTCACGCTACCCTAGCATGCACGCACGCACCCCCAGCTCGGCGTCGGCGTCGGTGTACACGCGGAACGGCGCTGGAGGCAACACGCGCTCCTGGGTCTATCCTTACAACCAGAACGTCGCACCTGCACCTCCTACTCGACCGGCCGGACCACCCCCAGCAACACCCTCTTTCCCTCCCGCACCTCTACTGGAAACACAACCATGACCTCGTCCACCTCGACCATCTGCCCTGGGGAGAGTAGCAGAACCAGCAGACCCGCCTCCGTTGCAATCGGGAGTAGGAATGCAAGCACCTGCAAGACCTCCTCGTGCAGCCCCACCACCACCATCCGCACGCTCGCCACCCGCACCTTTTGTCCAACAGTCGATCTCGAGGCCGTTGCCTAATCCATACCCGCGCCCGTTCGATGGAGGAAGGGGACCGTTTCATGCTGTCAACACGACCCCAATGCCTGTTAACGAGCTCGGAGGTGCGAATGGAAGAGGCACGGACGGATATTTCGCCATCGACCGTGGGCCCGGTCTGTCCCCCCTCCAGAATCATTTCCGCACCGACCTGGGGTCGGGATCGAACGGAGGAGGGTCATCGACCGCACTTGGGGGCACACAGCTCAGACCGAAGAAGAAGTCTGTGGTGAACAGGTTCTTGAAGGGCGTAAGGAGGTTGCCGAGCTCAGTGTTTGGGTATGGAGTCGGGGTGGGGAAGAGGAGTGGGACGATCACGACAGCGCCGGGGGTGGTGTTTGGGTCGGGGACGGAGGGGAGTACGACGGAGTATGGGGAGGAGAGGAGGGAGAGGGATGGTTTTGGAAGGGACGAGCATGAGGAGGACCTCGAGACACTCCCGCAGTATGCGTCGCAGGCGTCGACGCCGCAGGTGGACGTCTTGGTATGCCCACGGCCAACATCCATCATGCGCTGGAGTTGCACAGGCAAGCGTCGGAGAAGCCACCGATGCCGGATGTTGTTCGCCTCTCTGACTCGTTGTCGATGTCAAGGATGAACAATCTGAGCAGCGGCACCAGTAATCGCGGGTACCGGAATCCCACCGCCCTCAGAGCCCGATACACACACGAACGACGAGCCTCAACACCACAGCCAGGATCAATTCGACTCTCCTGAGGAACGGACGACGTACATGGTGTACGACCAATCTTTCAACCCCGAGAGAGATAGGGATGTAGGGAGGGAGTACAGCCGGTACTCTGGACCACCACTCCCGCCCCTTCCAACCGTCTCGACTTACACAAGTAATCTGCCGAATAGGACCCCGCCTCCGGTGGTCTCGCGCCTAAGCAGTGAGCGAGGAAGGTTTGAGTGCCAGGGATCATGCGTTCTCAGACGAAAACCACACGGATGATCCGCCCCCAGCAGCTAATCCGGTATCTCTGCATCCTGTGAGGCCGTTGTCCTTCCAAAGCGGAACACAAAGGAGCTCGGTTACGGAGACAGCGACGGTAAATGCGAACACAAACAGAAACATTCGCGTGTCGAGTGCGTCACAAGCTACGCAACATGCTCCTCAACTCCCACTTCCATGGAGAACAACACCTGCGGCGTTGATACCGAGTGCAATTCGCATGCCTACGCCCCCTCCACCATCTACCACGCCTCTTCCTCCTGTCGACGCTCCTCCTGCGATCACGACAGGCATTCCACCTGCCGCAGGATGCATCCACGAGCCCGACACACCCGTCTCCGTCCAGCCCCAGCCCGCGTCCGACTACGCCAAGATGGGTCCTCCCTCCTTCCGCTCCCAACCGTCCCACCATTCCCATTCCCACCACCACTCACACCACGCCCATTCTGATGGCGGATTCACCGGAACCCGGACACGAACACCAAGCATCAGTGGGACGTCCTTCTCCTCTGATCCTTCGTTCTCGTCGCAGCTCTCCCCTGTGGAGAGGTTCTTCAAGGTCCTCTACCACATGCCGTGGATCTCGCACGATCGTGTCACTGTGGACTACACGCCCGGGGTCGGGGTCGGCGTGCTTAGCGGCTTTCGAGTGGGTGGGAAGGGTTTGAGGGTGAAGGCATGGGCGGGGATTAGAGATGGAAGCAAGGGCGAACGCGAGAGAGAGAAGAAGCAGATGGGTGCAAGGAAGAACAAGACGTGGTATCCTTCCCTGATGCGGCGCTCGCAGAGGAGCAGTTCGGGTTTGGATTTGCTGAGCAGCGAGGCGTCGAAGAGGAGCGTGCTCGGCCTGACGTTTGATCATCAAGGGGCGGCGAGAAAGCAGGCAAATCGACACCGCCATAGTCACCACCATCACTGGCATTCGCATGCGCATCGACGGCGAGCTAGGCACGGGCATGGGCATGCGTCGCACCACCACCATCACCACGGCCAGCGACATAAGAGGAGAAGACAGACGACGACGACGCTCGACACGGGCATCACAGGGACGACGGACGCGACGTCGCTCGTACCGCCGATGTTCCCGTACGTCTTCCCGGCGTATTCTATGAACTATGCGGCGATGCCCATGCCCATGGCGCCAGCAGCAAATGCTGCACCTCCTGCTGGTCCAGGTGGTCCTCCGACGCAGCTTCTTCCACCTGGACACCCTGCCCCGTCTCACCCCCCAACGCCAATCCCAACGCCAACATCCAGCCTCCTCCCGCGAACGCAAACTCTAGCACTCCCGCACCTACGCATGCTATGAACCCTACCCTTCGCCACCA